CACATGGACACAGGGAGGGGAGTACTAAACACTGGGGTCTATTGGGGAGGAAAGGGGAGGGCCTGCGGGGGGGGAGCTGGGGAGGGATAGCCTGGGGAAAAATGACAAATGTGTGGGTAAAGGGGAGAAAGGAAGCAAAACACACTGCCATGTGTGTACCTATGCAACTGTCTCGCACATTCTGCACATGTAGCCCAAAACCTAAAATGCAATAAAAAATTTAAAAAAAAAAAAGAATATCAGAGGTGGAAGATCAACTCAATGAAATAAAATGAGAAACCAAGATTAGAGAAAAAAGTGCAACAAGAAATGAGCAAAGTCTCCAAGACATATGGGACTATGTGAAGAGACCTAACCTACGTCTGATAGGTGTACCAGAATATGACAAAAAGAATGAATCCAAGCTGGAAAATGCTCTTCGGGATATTATCCAGGACAATTTCCCCAACCTAGCAAGGCAGGCCAATATTCAAGTCCAGGAAATATAGGGAACACCACAAAGATACTCCGCAAGAAGAGCAACCCCAAGGCACATAATCTTCAGATTCACCAGGGTTGAAATGAAGGAGAAAATACTAAGGGCAGCCAGAGAGAAAGGTCGGGTCGCCCACGAAGGGAAGCCCATCACACTCACAGCAGATCTCTCGGCAGAAACTCTACAAGCCAGAAGAGAGTGGGGGCCAATATTCAACATTCTTAAAGAAAAGAACTTTCAACCCAGAATTTCACATCCAGCCAAACTGAGTTTCATAAGTGAAGGAAAAATAAAATCCTTTGCAAACAAGCAAGTACTCAGAGATTTTGTAACCACCAGGCCTGCTTTACAAGAGCTCCTAAAAGAGGCACTATACATAGAAAGGAACATCCAGTACCAGTCATTCTAAAAACATACCAAATGCTAAAGAGCATCAACAAAAGAAGAATCTGCATCAACTAATGGGCAAAACAGCCAGCTAGCATCAACATGGCAGTATCAAATTCACACATAACAATATTAACCCTAAATGTAAATGGGCTAAATGCACCAATCATAAGACACAGACTGGCAAAATGGATAAAAATCCAAAACCCATCAATGTGCTGTATCCAGGAAACCCATCTCACATGCAAGAACACACAAAGACTCAAAATAAAGGGATGGAGGAAGATTTACCAAGCAAATGGAGAGCAAAAAAAAGCAGGAGTTGCAATTCTCGTCTCTGATAATATAGACTTTAAAGCAACAAAGATCAAAAGAGACAAAGAAGGTCATTACATAATGTTCAAAGGATCGATACCACAAGAAGAGTTAACGATCCTAAACATATATGGACCCAATACAGGAGCACCCAGATATATAAGGCAAGTTCTTAACAACTAACAAAGAGACTTAGACTCCCACACTATAATAGTGGGAGACTTTAACACTCCACTGTCAATATTAGACAGATCAATCAGACAGAAAATTAACAAGGATATCCAGGCTTGAACTCAGACCTGGAACAAGCAAACCTGATAGACATTTACAGAACTCTCCACCCCAAAACCACAAAATATACATTCTTCTCAGCACCACATCACACCTACTCTAAAATTGACCACATAATTGGAAGTAAAGCACTCCTCAGCAAATGCAAAACAACTGAAATCATAACAAACAGTCTCTCAGACCATAGTGCAATCAAGTTAGAACTCAGAATTCAGAAACTAACTCAGAACTTCACAGCGTCAAGGAAACTGAACAACTGGCTCTTGAATGTTGATTGGATAAACAATAAAATGAAGGCAGAAATAAAGAAGTTCTTCGAAACCAATGAGAACAAAGGCACAACATACCAGAATCTCTGGGACACATTTAAAGTAGTTTCTAGAGGAAAATATATAGCAATAAGTGCTCACATGAGAAGAGTGGAAAGATCCAAAATTGACACCCTATCATCAAGAGTGAAAGAGCTAGAGGAGCAAGATAAAAAAACACAAAACCTAGCAGAAGACAAGAAATAACTAAGATCAGAGCAGAACTGAAGGAGATAGAGACACAAAATAGCCTTCAAAAAATCAATAAATCCAAGAGCTGGTTTTTTGAAAAGATCAACAAAATAGAAAGACCACTAGCCAGACTGATAAAAAAGAAAAGAGAGAACAACCAAATAGATGCAATAAAAAATGATAAATGGAAAATCACCACAGATTCCACAGAAATTCAAACCATCATCAGAGAATATTACAGACAACTCTATGCACATAAACTAGTAAACCTGGAAGAAATGGATAAATTCCTGGACATCTGCGTCCTCCCAAGTCTAAACCAGGAGGAAGCCGAAACTATGAATAGACCAATAACAAGGTCTGAAGTCGAGGCAGCAATTAAGAGCCTACCACACAAAAAAAGCCCAGGTCCAGATGGGTACACAGCCGAATTCTACCAGACACACAAAGAGGAGCTGGTACCATTCCTTCTGAAACTATTCCAAATAATCCAAAAAGAGGGAATCCTTCCCAAATCATTTTATGAGACCAACATCATCCTGATACCAAAACCTGGCAGAGACTCAACAAGAAAAGAAAACTTCAGGCTAATATCCATGATGAACATAGATGCAAAAATCTTCAATAAAATACTGGCAAACCGATTGCAACAGCACATCAAAAAACTTATCCATCATGATCAAGTAGGATTCATCCCGGGGATGCAAGGCTGCGCCAACATACACAAGTCTATAAACGTAATTCACCACATAAACAGAACCAAAATCAAAAACCACATAATTATCTCAATTGATGCAGAGAAGGCATTTGACAAAATTCAACAGCCCTTTATGCTAAAAACCCTCAATAAACTCGGTATTGATGGTACGTATCTCAAAGTAATAAAAGCTATTTATGACAAACCAACAGCCAATATCATACTGCATGGACAAAAACTGGAAGCATTCCCTTTGAAATTGGGCACTAGACAAGGATGCCCTCTCTCTCCACTCCTATTCAATATAGTACTGGAAGTTCTAGCCAGAGCAATCAGGCAAGAAAAAGAAATAAAGGTTATTCAAATAGGAAAGGAGGAAGCCAAATTGTCCTTATTTGCAGATGACATGATAGTATATCTAGAAGACCCCATCGTCTCAGTCCAAAAACTCCTGAAACTGATAAGCAACTTCAGCAAAGTCTCAGGATATAAAATCAATGTGCAAAAATTACAAGCATTCCTATATACCAATAACAGACTTAAAGAGAGCCAAGTCAAGAACGAACTGCCATTCACAATTGCTACAAAAACAATAAAATACCTAGGAATACAACTTACAAAGAATGTAAGGGACCTCTTCAAAAAAAACTACAAACCACTGCTCAACGAAATCAGAGAGGACACAAACAGATGGAGAAACATTCCATGTTCATGGTTAGGAAGAATCAATATCGTGAAAATGGCTATACTGCCCAAAGTAATTTACAGAATCAATGCTATCCCCATAAAGCTACCATTGACTTTCTTCACAGAACTGGAAAAATCCACCATGAACTTCATATGGAACCAAAAGAGAGCCCGCATAGCTAAGTCAATTCTAAGCAAAAAGAACACAGCAGGAGGCATCACACTACCGAACTTCAAATTATACTACAAGGCTACAGTAATCAAAACAGCATGGTACTGGTACCAAAACAGAGATATAGACCAATGGAACAGAACAGAGGCATCGGAGGCAACACAACATATCTCCAACCATGCAATCTTTGATAAACCTGACAAAAACAAGCAATGGGGAAAGGATTCCCTGTTTAATAAATGATGTTGGGAAAACTGGCTAGCCATGTGCAGAAAGCAGAAACTGGACCCTTTCCTGACACCTTACACTAAAATTAACTCCAGATGGATTAAAGACTTAAACATAAGACCTGGCACCATAAAAACCCTAGAAGAAAATCTAGGCAAAGCCATTCAGGACATTGGAGTAGGCAAGGACTTCATGACCAAAACACCAAAAGCATTGGCAGCAAAAGCCAAAATAGACAAATGGGACCTAATGAAACTCCACAGCTTCTGCATGGCAAAAGAAACAGTCACTAGAGTGAATCAGCAGCCAACAGAATGGGAAAAAATTTTTGCAGTTTACCCATCTGACAAAGGGCTGATATCCAGAATTTACAAAGAACTCAAACAGATTTACAGGAAAAAAACAAACAAGCCCATTCAAAAATGGGCAAAGGATATGAACAGACACTATACAAAAGAAGACATACATGAGGCCAACAAACTTATGAAAAAATGCTCATCGTCACTGGTTACTAGAGAGATGCAAATCAAAACAACATTGAGATACCATCTCACACCGATTAGAATGGCGATCATTTAAAAATCTGGAGACAACAGATGCTAGAGAGGATGTGGAGAAATAGGAACACTTTTATACTGTTGGTGGGAGTGTAAATTAGTTCAACCATTGTGGAAGACAGTGTGGTGATTCCTCAAGGCCTTAGAAATAGAAATTCCATTTGACCCAGCAATCCCATTACTGGGTATATATCCAAACGACTATAAATCGTTCTACTATAAGGACACATACACACAAATGTTTATTGCAGCACTGTTTACAATAGCAAAGACCTGGAACCAACCCAAATGCCCATCGATGATAGACTGGACTGGGAAAATGTGGCACATATACACCATGGAATATTATGCAGCAATCAGAAATGATGAGTTCATGTCATTTGTAGGGACATGGATGAATCTGGAGAACATCATTCTCAGCAAACTGACGCAAAAACAGAAAATGAAATACCGCATATTCTCACTCATAGGTGGGTGACGAACAATGAGAACATATGGACACAGGGAAGGGAGCACTACACACTGGGGTCTGTTGGGGGGAAGAAGGGAAGGACAGCATGGGTGGGGAGCTGGGGAGGGATAGCATGGGGAGAAATGCCAAATGTGGGTGAAGGGGAGGAAGGCAGCAAAACACACTGCCACGTGTGTACCTAAGCAACTATCGTGCATCTTCTGCACATGTACCCCAAAACCTTAAAAGCAATAAAATAAATAAATAAATAAAAATAAAACATTAAAAAAAAGTTGGCTGGCAATAGCTACTCAAATAAAGATTGGCTTCCTCAAACAATAACATTTATTAAGTCACTGGTTATTGTGGTATCCATCAAAAAGAACTTGGCATTATCCAAGGCTTTATGAAGGGACATAAAAGGGGAGGGACTAACATGTGTCTTTACCTCTAGAGCAGGTACATTGAAGGAGGAACAGGGCATATGCAAATAAAATCTTGTAAAGTTTCTTTTCTATTTTTGTTTGGTCCTTTAGTGACATGTACTACAATGGTACAAGGACTAAAACTAAGGTCCCATAGCATGCTTGTTTTTATATCTGAAGAAAACCAGACAGGCCTCAGATGGCCTAACATAAGTTCCCCTCCCTACTCTACTAGTGTAGAAAAGGTTCCCTAGCCAATAACCCTTCTGATCATGGGGGTCAAGTACAGTTCTTGTTTATTCCCAAGGAGCAAGCTTCAGTCACTGCCAGCATGTGGAATCATTCAAACAGGCCAATCACATATTCCCACAGGAACCAAGGGGCAAGTCACCCTCTTGACACTGAAAAGCTTGCCTTCCATGGCCCCTGGTTGTTTACTCTGCTCCTGAGTGCAGACCTTGTGTGGCCCTGTGTGCAATGTCCCCTCCCAGACTATCAGTATAAGTGACAAATAAATTGCTGTCAAACTTAAAAAAAAAAAAGATCCATAAAGAATCCTAAATTTCATAGAAGATTACAGGTAAATACAGAAAACATAAAAGTACTTTAAATGGTAAAATTGACCCAAGTTTACTTGAAAATTCTAAGTGTTACACTGCAAATAAGTCATAAACAAAGGAAACATATTTATTAAAATGAAATTTAACAATAGCATTCAGTACACACTCCATGCCTGACATTATATAAGCACTTGGAGAATAAGATGAGTGGGAAGACTTCTCTCATGAAGTTTTGAATTCATCCTTCCATTCACTCTATCAAGAAATGTTTAGCCAAAGCCTTTAAAGTAACTGATGTATGCTTAAGTAATGGGGATATAACTGTGAACAAGACAGGCACACTCATGAAATCCAATGGAAACAATAGCATTAATAGATGGATGAACAAAGATAGAATATACCGTTTAAGTGCAGAGTATAGAGAGCTATGGGCACTTTTATATCAGAAAGAACTAACATAATCAATGAGTCATAGAAAATTTCTCAAAAGAAGTAAATTTTTAGCTAAAAACTTAAAGAAGGAATGAGTAGAGAGGCACCAAAAGGGTAGAAGATAATGCCCAAGGCAAAAGGAACAGCATGTGTAAAAAGCTTTAGAAGAGATCCTCAAGTAGTTGAGAAACAGAAGGAATAATCTGACCAGAGTAAGAGATGAGACTGAAGAATTAAGTATTTGGGCTGTGATAAGGTGAGGTCCTTGCAAGTGCCGCTAAGGATTTTAGAGTTTATCATAAGATAACTGGGAATAACACAGTAAAAACCTGTTTTGCAAAGTTGGTGATATGTTGTAGGTGATATAACATATAACAACTAAAAATGTCTGTGCAATCACAGAGGAGGGAATGACCAAATGGTTAGATGGGCTTCCCAAGAAGCAGCATTTTAGTTGAACTTTGAAGAATGTGAGAGATTCTACCAGGAAGCAAAAAAGGGCATTACCGAAAGAGGGAATGACAAGAACAAAGGCACAACTATCTTAAATAAAATAAAATAAAAAGAGCTTGGAATGCAGGGAACAGGGAGAAACCATAAAGTCTAGCAGAATAAAGTCTACTGGCAAGAGCACAGTAAAAAATAAGTCTAAGAGGCACATTCCTAACATTTGTGTATAAATGGTACAATATGGTACAAGGAATATACATTTAAATATTTAAAAGTTATAAATCATGTTAACAAACAAAATTTGTTCTCCTCTCTACATATCTTCAAATTCAAAATATGGTGGGTGACAGGCTGTGGACTCCAGGAAAATATAGTAAATTTACTTTATACAGGCCTTTAATTTATACTTAACAGTCCGAGTATTATTATATCTTTATGGGAGTTTAACAAGTCACCCAGTTCTAAATCCAAGTTCATGAACTGTATTAGTCCATTTCCACACTGCTATAAAGTTACTACCTGAGACTGGGTAATTTATAAACAAAAAAGGTTTAATTTTACTCACAGTTCTGCATGGGTGGGGAGGTCTCAGAAAACTTACAATCATTGCAAAAGGGGAAGGAGTCACCTTCTTTACAAGGCAGCAGGAAAGAAAGAGCAAAAGAGGAAGGGCCACTTTTAAAACCATCAAATCTTATCAGAACTCACTCACTATCACTAGCACAGCATAGCGAAACCTGCCCCCATGATACAGTCACCTCATACTAGATCATTCCTTCAACACATGGGGATTACAATTAGGATTACAATTCAAGATGAGATTTGGGTGGGGACACAGAGCCAAACCATATCATGAACCTTATGATTAAAGTTACATAAATCTTGCCAGATAACAATAATTAACAGTCAACTTCTGGGTTTTAGGACCAGTTTTTTTTTTTATGATTCCAGTAAATACTGCATATCTGATATGAATAATTAGATATGAACATAAGACTATATAAGACTGGAAAGTTTTCAGACTCTTTATTAAACATGTGAGCAATGGAAAACTGTCATTGAGTGAGGTTAGCTCCATTAGAATCTTACAGGGACTTACATTTGTTTAGATACAAAAAATTGTATCTAAACAAATTTTTTACTAGGCAAATTTATTTATTTAATGTTTATACTCCCTTCTCATGCTGTTTTCCATGGCACAAAATTAGGTGTCTAACTTTTAGTCCTTTTTGATGTTTTTAGAATGTTTTTGAATTTGTATTGATATATCATAGCTGTATATATTTTTGAGGTACATGTGATATTTTGATACATGTATACAATGCGTAATGATCAAATCAGAGTAATAGGGATATCCATTACTTCAAACATTTATCTTTTATTTGTGTTAAGAATACCACAATTCTTCTCTCCTAGCTTTTTCAATTACATAATAAATTGTTAACTATAATTTCTCTATAGTGCTATCAAATAAAGTAATTCATTCCTTCCATCTAAACAGTATTTTTGTACTCACTAACCAATTTTGGCTTAATTCCAGTCACATCTATTTAACCCTTCCCTGAATCCAAGTTCACTTCTCTCCCTTCTCTGAACATCAACTCATTTATTTTAACATTTAAATTAACTATTTACATATATAGTTTATATGTAAACTGTATGTTGATATTTACTTGGAATGACTGGCAAAATATTGGGGAAAGTTAGAAGATTACAGTCTCAAACCTTTTGTAAGGCCAAAAGGTTTTGATGGAACAGGCTGAAGGCAGCCAGTTCATTACATTAGAATTTTAAGTCATAGGGTAAAAGATACAGCAATAAAGTTTCCCCAGCTAAGTCTGTTTAGCCCACATTCCTTTGTCTCTACTCCAATTTGTTTGCTCATGTAAACTTTGCTGATGGTCCTCTCAGGGAGAGGTCAAAGGGGAATTACCTGTCAATGGTGTTTACTCTGGGCCCTGGAACCAAAAGCTTTTATCATTCGTAAAACCACTCTTTCGTGGATAATTAACATGGTAATTATCCACAAGCATGTAGACTTAGAACCCCTGTTATGAAATTTATACTGAATAAATGTGAGGATGGAGAGGGAGTCATGGTCAGTTGGCTGCAATCACCCTCTGAAAGCAGCTGACAACCATCCCTAGCCCACTTGAATCACTGTAATGAATGTGAGAGTGCATTTATTCATCCATCGTTGAGTCAGGGTCTGCAGGTGGTGATCTCTGCAGGTGGTGATCGACATCTCAGTGTATATAAATTGTTATATAGGGTTTATAAATAGTTTATATATAAACTCTATATAGTTTATTTAAATGTCAAAATTAATGAGCTGGTGTTCAGAAAAGGGAGAGAATAAGCTACATATATGCATATATAAATCTAAGAAACTAAATTCCAGAAAGGGACAAACTCTTCCTAGAGGAAGCATGGGCACAAAAATAGGGTGTGTTTTAAGCAGAGGAACTCTGCTGAAGTAAGGCAAAGCCAGCAGAACTTTTAACAACCATGCACACTGGTGTAACAGATTGGAATCTATCGGAGGTCAAGTGTAGAGGTAATTCTACCTACCTACCAATTCTCTCCATGAGACTTTTGTTGAGTAAGCAGCAGCACAACAGGCTGGTGGCTGGGCTGGAAAGCAAAAAGTATCCAAGTGCTTAGGTCTCAAAATCCCTTTAGAGGGAGAGGCCGGTAATACACACAGAACAGGTAATACTCTAGATATTTGAAACTAGAGGTGAACTGAAACTACCTAAAGCTGCAGCTCACCACTGACTCAGCTTGGCTCCTCACAAAGAAAGGGCACACTTTTTCTGGGAGGAAATAATACTTACTTAAATCTCTATAATTATTTTAAAAACAATTAGGTTTAAGCATATAAATTTTAAAATGTCAACATCAGTACATATAATTTTTTCAATGGGAGACATGAAGAACTGGGAAAATGTGAACAATAATTAAGAAAAAGTTATAAATACATTAAAGAAACTGATGAAAAATGAAAAATTTCAACACAGAAATTGAATTAAAAAAAAAAATCTGTCAAGGCACTTTTTATTAATAGGGTGAGGGAATAGGAGAGTTCAAAGTTAGGCTATAGCCACTCCAGATACCTCAAGAGTTGACAGCTTCTGTAGACAAACCCTTGGCAAGGACATCAGCGTGTAGAAGTGTATGACAGTCACAGTGGTCATGATAACACTCACCTCCAATGACTCTGAGGACAAAGTAAATCAAGGAGAGGAAGGATTTAGCTTATATCATCTCAGATATGCTCCTGCAAGACATACATAGAGTCTTTCTGGGAAAACTACTTGAGACATGAAGAACAACTAGAGGTCAAGTTTGGAAAACTTGCAATTTATATTTGAGTCATTATTATGAGTGTAATCACATTTTTATACATATGGCATCCACCTCTTTTTGTATTTAGAATTAATAGGCTTATGAGTGGGAAACATCATTTTAAACATACTACACATAAAGCCCAATAAAGAAATCAACGTTGGTAATCTTTTGAACTTACATTCTGGCATACATCAAACAGAAGATTGGAAAACCAGATAACAAGGGAAACAGATGGAAAAAAAGGTAGAATAAGGTATCACCTGACAGTAGGAAACTTCCTGATATCTGCCTCCTGATGACAAAATAAGCACATTTCCCATCATGAATTTCTCAATCTTCTTCATATGTACTGACATACTCTGCCTTCTCACCTATTTCAAATATTCCAAATTTTTTCCCATAATGTCCCCTCTTTAGCCCTACATCATCAAATGTTGTTTCTCCAGTGGATCATTCCCATCATTATAGTTGTTATAATAGTTCCATCTTAAACACCTCTCTCAGCCAGTGATGATTTCTGTTTCTCTTCACAGCAAAATCCCTTGAAAAGATTTATCTGTAGTCACCATCCTGCTTCTTCACTGTCCATTCTCTTCTAGACCTGTTCCTATAAGGTTTCTTCTTGTTAAGTTTGCTAATGATCTTTATCTTGGCAATGCCAATAATAAGCTTTTATTTGATTTCTCAACAAAGTCGACTACTCCACAGTCCTCCTAGCCTGTCTCATCTCAGTGAGTGATAGTATCATACATTCAAGACTAAGGTAAAAAATCTAAGAGTTATCCTTGAGTCATCTCTTTTCCTCACACATCACACCAAATCAAGTCCTATTAGCACTATCTGCAAAATAAATTCAAAATCAGTTCCTCACCTTTTCCATTGTATAACTGCAGCCCAAGCCACTATGACTTCTCATATGAACTATTAAAAGAGTTTCCTGACTCAGCTCTTGGCCATCTACCACCTTTTCTTCACAAGGTTATTACCCTGAACCACAAATCAAGGTATATCATTCTCCTTCTTAAGACCCCTTTAATGTCTTCCCATTTTGCTTAAAGTAAAATTCAGCTCCTTTCCATGACTTTCAAAGCTCTATATGATCTAGCCTCTGCTTATCTTTCTGTCTTCACCTCCCTCCTGCATTGCATTTCAGCCACACTAGCCATCACTATTTCACTCAAATATGAAAGCTCATTTTTCTCTCAGAGACCTTATACTTGCTGTTTTTCTGCCTATTATATCCTTTCCCTAGATATTCACACTGGTAACTCCTTCTCATCATTCAAGCCTCAAATTCAATGTCATTCGGGCTTTCTGTTTATTGTTTCCCCTAGAATATAAGCATCTTGAGGGCAAGAAACTCTATCCAACTTGAAAGTTACTCTATTTTCAATGCCTAGAATAGTGAGTGACTCATACAGGCACTAGATAAATACTTGTTCTTAAACCTAACTCCTTTAGAATATTTTGAGTATTCATTAAGTTACTTATAATTATAAAGGCCATCTACATATGTATATTAAATGTTTATGTACCAAATTTCCTGTACTTTGTGCTAAGGGTAAAAAGATAAATAAAATTGTATCTAGAGAGTGATATCAGCAAGATAATGGGATAGGAGGCTCCAACCCTCAATTCCCCAGAGAAACACCAATTTTACAATCCATGGACAATAATACCTTTTGGGAGCTTAGGAATCTAGCTAAGATGTTCTAGAATCACGGTGGAGCAAAAAAAAATAAATAATTTATGCATTAAAGTAGGTAAGAACAGTTTCATTTTATGCACATCACCCCCTACACAGGATGGCACAACTCAGTGCCGAGGAAGAGCCCCTTGGTTTATGATTTCTTCCACAGGTGGAAGTGAGGGCAAAGTGAGCACCCATCTCTCCCAGCATTGAAGGTTGATGCTGAGAAACCCAGTTCTGTCCTGCCCCATCCAGAACACTGAGATGATTAGCACAACTGAATTGTTTGACAGCAAGAAGCACTAAAAAGGAGCAGAAGCTCAAAGTAGTGGGCACACAGATCTCGACAACTGGTCACAGATGCTACTGGCTGGCTTGCAGATACCACCCATGAACCCTGTGGGGTTATATCACATGTGAAACCCCAATTAACTGACATGTCACAGCACTCCATGCACACATTCCCACCATTATCATCACTGCCAGCACCTTGCACTTTTTCACAGATGGCATCCCAGGTTCCCCTGCAGACAGTGCATGTGCTCCCCTGAAGATGGCAGACATAAGTCTGCAAAGACACTGCACACATATCAACAGATGGCTCAGCTCTGCTAAGCTGGGAGAAGGTACACAACTTTGATCACTTTGATCATTCCAGATCACTCAGACCAGCCCTAGGAGAAGTAAATGGAAAGTTCTCACTATCTGACCTGGTTTTATGACATCAAGGGAAGGCATACATTCCTGACACTACCCCCTAAGAGGGAAGAACAGTAGGAGGATACATCAGTTGAAATGGTCTGAGATACCTCCACATCTCTAGACAGAAGACTGTTGTCTCCCAATGCCAGTAATAAAAGACCTGAGAAGTTTATTGCTTCTTCAAATGAGAATGCAACAAGGCAAAGCTTCAAAGAGCATAAAAAATCAAGGAGCTATAACACCACCAAAGTAATAAGAATACAGCTCTAGTAACTGACCACAAAGAAATAGAGATATATGAATTGCCTAACAAAGAATTCAAAATAATTATCTTTTAAAAGCTTAGTAAGCTACAAGAGGAAAATCTAAGGGATCACGGTGGACAGGAGGCAGGACTGGATTGCAGCTCCCACACAGACAGAGCAATGTGTGGAGACTTACATCATGAACTTTTGCTCCAAAACTACTGTAGGAATAAACCAGGAAAGTTGAGAGAACCCACAGACCCTCTGAAGGAAGCAAATTGATCCTACAGGACCCAGGAGACACCCAAAATACTGTGAGTGACCAAGGTGTGGAAATGGGAAAGGGGGATTGTCCATCTGTGAACACACACCTTCACTGGGGAACCTAAAAGTCTGTCTACACTATGGGAAAAGATTCTGACCTTACCTGGAGCTGAGTTAATTTAGAGAGTCAAGCTAAATACAGAGGTAGAGGAAGCAGCAGGAGAAGGCCTTTAGGCTCTCTAGGTCCTCTGGAGAGTCATTTCTGCCTTGTCCATAGGGTCCTTGGAGAGGGCTGCCAGAGATACTGAGAAAAGACCACAAGAAGAAGGAAACTTCCTGCTGAACTTCGTAACAATTCCAGCCAAATACAAAGTCTCCTGGCCAGAATTCTGGGGAGGGTGTGAATGCAGTGTGCAGACTCCACAGGCAGGAAGGCACAAAAGCCCTGCTTGCTTTCACACATGGGAGGCTAGTAACCTGGGGTAAGTTCTCAACCCTGCTCTCCCACTACCTGAAAACAGATGTGGTGCTGTTTGTAGGGGTGGGGGCCATGATGGGAATGAGACCAACCTTCTGGGATGCTTGGAAGCTGGGTGAACCCTGTGACTGCTGGCTTTTCCCCACTTCTCTGACAACCTGCATGACACAGCAGAGGCAGCCATAATCCTCCTGGGAATATCATTGTATTGACCTGGGAACCACAAACCCATTCCCCACAGCATCCACAGCAAGAGCTGCCCAAGAAGAGTCTGAGCTCAGACACACCTAGCCCTGCCCACACCCGATGGTCCTTCCCTACTCACCCTATAGCTGAAGACATCAGCATTCTATGAAGCCAGTATCTTCCTAATACCAAAACCAGAAAAGAGCATAACCAAAAAAGGAAACTACAGATCAATATCCCTGATGAACATAGATGCAAAAATCCTTAACAAAATTCTAGCTAATTGAATCCAACAACATATCAAAAAGATAATCCACCATGATCAAATGGGTTTCATACCATGGATGAAGAAATAGTTTAACATATGCAAGTCAATAAATGTGATAAACCATATACACAAGATTAAATACAAAAATCACATGATCATCTCAATAGACACAAAAAAAGCATTTGACAAAATCCAGCATCCCTTTATGATTAAAACTCTCAGCAAAATCAGCATACAAGGGACATATCTCAACATAATAAAAAGCATCTATGACAAACCTACAGCCAGTATATAGCTGAATGGGGAAATGTTGAAATCATTCACTCTGAGAACTGGAACAAGACAAGGATGCCCACTCTCACCACTTCTATTCAACATGGAGGTACTAACTAGCCAGAGCAATCAGACAAGAGAAAGAAATATAAGGCATCCAAATCAGTAAAGAGGAAGTCAAACAGTTGCTGTTTGCTGATGATATGATTGTATACCTAGAAAACCCTACAGACTCCTTCAAAATGCTCTTAGAACTGATATAAAAATTCAGCAAACTTTCAGGATACAAAGTTAATCTACACAAGTCAGTAGCTCTCCTATACATCAACAGTGACCAAGCTGAGAATCAAATCACAAACTCAACTCCTTCTACAATAGCTTCAAAAAAATAAAATAAAATACTTAGGAATATACCTAACCAAGGAATGAAAGACCTCTACCAGTAAAACTACAAAACACTGCTGAAAGAAATCATAAATGACGCAAACAAATGCAAACACATCCCGTGCTCGTGGATGGGTAGAATAAACACTGTGAAAATAACCATACTGCCAAAATCTATCTACAAATTTAATGCTATTCCCAGCAAAATATCACCATCATTTTTCACAGAACTGGAAAATGCAATCCTGAAATTCACATGGAACAAAAGAGAGCTCACATAGCCAAAGCAAGACTAAGCAAAAAGAACAAATCTGAAGCATCACATTACCTGATTTCAAACTATATTGTAAGACCATAGTCACCAAAATAGCATGTTACTCTTATAAAAATAGGCACATAGACCAATGCAACAGAATAAAGAACCCAGAAATAAACCCAAATACCTACAGTCAACTGATCTTCGACAAAGCAAACAAAAACATAATGTAGAGAAAGGACACCCTATTCAACAAATAGTGCTGAGATAACTGGCAAGCCAAACGTAGGAGAATGAAACCGGATCCCCATCTCTCACTTTGTACAAAAATCAACTCAAGATGAATCAAGGACTTAAATCTAAGACCTGAAACTATAAAAATTCTGGAAGGTTACATCAGAAAACCCCTCTAGACATTGGCTTGGGCAAGGATTTCATGACAAAGAAGAACCCAAAAGCAAATACAATGAAAAAAAAGATAAATAGCAGGGAGTTAATTAAACTAAAGAGCTTTTGCAACGCAAAAGGAACAGTCAGCAGAGTAAACAGACAACCCACAGAGTGGGAGAAAAATATACAATCTATACGTCTGACAAAGGACTACTATCTAGAACCTACAATGAACTCAAACAAACTAGCAAGAAAAAAAATCCCTTCAAAAAGTGTGCTAAGGACATGAATAGACAATTCTCAAAAGGAGATATACAAATGACCAACAGACAAATGCAAAACTGCTCAACATCACTAACGATCAGGGAGATGCAAATCAAAACCAAAATATGATACCACCTTACTCCTGCAAGAATAGCCATAATCAAAAATCAAAAAATAATAGATGTGGGCATGGATGCGATGAAAAGAGAACACTTCTACACTGCTGGTGGAATGTGAACTAGTACAACCATTAGTACTAGTTTTATAAACTAGTACAAAGCAATGTGAAGATTCCTTTAAAAACTAACATCATTGGCCAGGCATGGTGGCTCATGCCTGTAATCCCAGCACTTTGGGAAACCGAGGCAGGCAGATCACCTGAGGACAGGAGTTCAAGACCAACCTGGCCAACATGGTGAACCCCATCTCTACTAAAAAATACAAAAATTAGCTGGGCATGGTGGCAGACACCTGTAATCTCAGCTACTCAGGAGGCTGAAGCAGGAGAATTGCTTGAAATTGGGAGGCAGAGGTTGCAGTGAGCTGATATCATGCCATTTCACTCCAGTTTGGGTAACAGAGCAAACCTCCATCTTAAAAGAAAAAGAAAAGAACTACCATTTTATGCAGTAATCCCACTACTGAGTACCCAGAGGAAAAGAGGTCATTATATGAAAAAGATACTTGCATACATGCTTATAGCAGCACAATTCACAATTGCAAAAATGTGGAACCAACCGAAATGCCCTTCAATCAATGAGTGGATAAAGAAAATATGGTATAGATATATGATGTAACACTAGTCAACCATAGGAAGGAAAAAATTAATGGCATTTGCAGCCATCTGGATGGGATTGGAGACTATTATTCTAAGTGAAGTAACTCAGGAAGAGAAAACCAAACAGAGTATGTTCCCACTTGTAAGTGGGAGCTAAGCTATGAGGATGCAAAGGCATAAGAATGACACAATGAACTTTGGGGACTCAGGGGGAAAGGGTGGGAAGAAAGTGAGAAATAAAAGACTACAAGTTGGGTTCAGCATATACTGTTCAAGTAATGGGTAAACCTAAATCTCACAAATCACCACTAAATAACTTACTCATGTAACCAAATACCACCGATTCCACAAAAACCCATGGAAATAAAAATTTTATTTTTTAAAAAAAGAAAAATCATTTCCCAACTTTTGGCTTCCTAGCACTGTGTTTGTAACTCTCTTCTAGAATTTTCTCTTACTTCATCTTCTGTTTTAATCTTTTGTATTCTAATCTAATCTATGCAACAAATTCTCAAGTTCTTTGGAGGGAGTGACTGTGTTTTACTCATTTCAGTACTCTCTAAAGAGCAGAGCACTGAGCCTGGAACCTAGAAGCACTCACATATTTTTTCATATGAATTAGAAAGAATTATATATATATAAAAAGCAAAGAATAAACTTGTTGAGGGTTATGTACCAGCACTTATAATGGGTGCTTTCCCACATGTTATTTCATTTAACCCTCACAACATTTCTTCTAGATAGCTATTACTGTCCTCATATAACAGTTAATAAAATTGAGATTGATAGGTTATACTCAAAAAAGTAATCTCTTCCTTCCAAAGAAGAGTTTACAATCTAGTAGGGAGATGTACTATGTATATTAATAATAACAAATGTGATACAGGTAGTACATAAATATACTGGTTCAAACAAGTTCAAACAAAGTAAGATTACTTGTAGTGCCAATGATTTGGGAAGATTTTACAGGTGAGGCCACACCTAAACTGAATCAACATCGATAGGATACTGTCAAAATAGATGGAGATAATCAAGAGCATTTTTAAAAGGCTATAGTTTCATTCTGACAGTTTCCTCTAATCTCAGGCAAGCTCAGGCAAGTTCCTTCCCCAGTTAAACACTGGAAGACTATATTTAAAAGTTTTATTAAAAAGGCAATGAAAACATAGAATTTAATTGGCAAAAATTTATAGCTAGTTTTTTATTCATAATATAATAAATAATGTTTAATATTAATAGATAATATGTCGAGTACTTAATAGATGTCAGAAAGCTTTTATGGAGTACTTTCCATGGATTATCTCATTTAATTCTCCCAACATCCCATAATTAGTCTGATATTACAGAAAATAAATTAGGCCTAAAAAAGAGCTACACAACTCTGACAAAGAATAACTTGATTGTTGAGTGACCAAGGCAAGAGTCCGGTTTGGATGTATCTGACTGCAGAGCCAGCTCACAATGCTATGAGTAGAATTTTCCCAAGCTAAGGAAGATTAGTGTTCAATCCAGAAAAGAAAGCTTAATTGGAGCATATTAAGTAACAGTTATCCACATATGTAAACCATTCAGTGCTATTTCAAGTCTGAAATAAATATACAAGTAGTTATTGCAAAAGATAAAAATAAAATTCCCCTTAGCTGTTCTCAACCACTGTGCTTTTATTACTCCCAGGAAGAATAATATAAACCCTTAAGACGCTGTCACTCCTACTCAAATCCCTTTTTTAATCTACTGTTTCCTGGTGCCTTGAATTTCAGTTCCTCATACCTCCAGATTGTGCTTCTCAATAAACAAATCCCAGGATTTACATCTCTAATACTATTTGATGGTAATGACAAAAGCTTCAATTAAGCTTTCAATGATGACAACTACACAACCTAAAAGAATTATTCAATTCATTAAATACTTACTGAGTCAGCTGTCTTGGAAAGTATGATAAATGTGTTCAGCATAATCCCCTTTGATACTTAACAACTAAATCTTTAGAGTGAGTAAGATAAGGAAGTTCGCCAAGATACTTTAGTAATTTACTATGCTATCTTTATGCAAATATTTTGGTCTTGATGCAAACTCCTGAGTTAAGAGGTACATAAATACCCTTTGTACATTTCCAAAAGGTTTATTGTACCATGTGCAAAAATGCTGTTCAGTCTGAAGGTGATTTTCTTCCTATCCTTGCTTCTCTTGCCAGTGTTGAAAAGCTCATGGGTAACTTTAAGTAACAATGGATATGATGGCATTGTCATTGCAATTAATCCCAGTGTACCAGAAGATGAAAAACTCATTCAAAACATAAAGGTAAGAGAAAAATGTATTATCCACATATTTTTATTTCAATAAGTATTTTCAACTCATGGTGCCTTGGCAAATACATTCATAGAGTGATAACTTTCCAAAATTGCTTCAACAGTAGTTATCATTTATATAGCATTTATCTAAACTGTCAGATTAATACCTGCTTAGTTTAAATATGTTTTTATTATATGTTAATACTATTGGTCATTCCTCAATGAAACATTAAAAGGCTGACCTAATATTTTTTTTCAACTAGTTAAGCTAACAGAAAGACATTACAGCAAGTAGAAAATAATTCTCAAATTTTATTTTTATAAAGTTACTTTTATAACGTTCAGCAAACTAGTCTACACTTAAGTCCCAGAGTTTTATCCTACACATATTTTCAGTTGTGCATACTTGTTCAAACTCTGGAAAAGTACAAAATGATACCTATCTTATTATAAATAAGATATGATACATTTTAAATTAATATACCTTTCTTATTTGCATTATTCAGTATAATAAAAAACACTTTATACATATCACTTTAATATATACTATCTTCTTTGATCCTCCCAGTATCCCCATAGGAATTCAAAAACAAGAATTATTACAGTTGTATAAATCAAGGGATTTGTACAATCTCACAATAAATGGCAAAACTGGGACCTGAAGCCAATGAGACCTATGTATTTCTATTTTCATTTCTACTTGGTAAAACTTTGCCTTTTATGAACACACTCCATCTGAGAAGATAACTCAAAATAAATCCAGCAAAACTTTTTTTCAATTGACATCAATTATAATAATCTACCAAACTTTAAACTCTAAATTTCCTTAAACAATCAGAAACACCTCTGTTTGATTAAATAAACAACTTTACAATTTTTGTTATTAATATTAACAGGCTCCCAGTCTTAATCACTTTGACATCCCACCCAGCACCCTCATTTCAATCTCCAACCTGTGATGCTGAATGCAGGCCTGGATAGGTGAAACATTTTAAAAGACGGTTTTTAAGCATATGAAAATAAGGAGTTTACAGACTGCAGATATGTAGAAAAAAAATTCAATCTATTTTCAGTTAGTTTTCCCAAAATGTTTGAGGAAAGGAGGCTTAGATTTGCTTCATCTAGTTATATATGTATTTTTATGTTCATTTCACTGTGGAATTATTACCACAAGTTATTTTAAATTTTGTCAGGCAATGGTAACTGAAGCTTCTACTTACCTGTTTTATGCCACCAAACGAAGAGCTTATTTCAGGAATGTAAGCATTTTAATTCCAATGACCTGGAAATCAAAACCTGAGTACTTAATGCCAAAACAAGAATCATATGACCAGGTAGGCTATTTCATCTAACTCCTAAACTGCTTCTTTCCTCCTGTGCTTTTAAAAACTCAGTATTTGTAATTCTTTATTAATTACTAATCACTAATTTAGTAATTAAATTAGTAATATAACTTTTTTATGTATATGAATAGAAGTCCTTTGTTTCTAAAATCTCTTGTTTCTGTTCCTCTTGAAATTTGTTTTTGTTTGTTCTTTTGCTTTTTAGGCAGATGTCATAGTTGCTGATCCTTACTTGAAATACGGAGACGACCCCTATACACTTCAATATGGACAATGTGGAGAAAAAGGACAATATATACATTTTACTCCAAACTTCTTGTTGACTAATAATTTGCCTATCTATGGGCCTCGAGGTAGAGATATCTATGACGTGCTTCTGTTCTTATTTCCACTAGTAAAACAAAGAACACTAAGTTTAATGGTATTTTAAACAATTTTTAAAGAAGCCAGGCACAGTGGCTGACACTTATCCCTGTGACTCAGGAGACTGAGGTAGGAGGATCACTTGAGCTCAGGAGTTAGAGACCAGCCTGGACAACAGAGTAGAGCCCCCAGTCTCTGAAAAGCTAAAAGTAAATTTTGAAAACTAGCCAGGCATTGTAGCACATACCTCTAGTCCCAGCTACTTAAGACGTTGACTCAGGAAGATTGCTTGAGGCTAGAAGCTGAGGCTGCAGTGAGCTATGATCAAGCCACTGTACTCCAACCTGGGCAACAGAGCAAGAACAAGATCCCATCATTTAAGAAAACAAAATTAAGAAGAGAAAAATAGGTATTAAATAATACCTTTACTTGGAAATATGCTGGTTACATTCTTAATTCTCTCTCTCTCTCTCTCTGTCTCTCTCTCTCTCTCTCTCTCTCTCTCTCTCTCTCTCTCTGTGTGTGTGTGTGTGTGTGTGTGTGTGTGTGTGTGTGTGTTAAAACAAAATGAGTCATTCATTGGCACTAAGTTATTTCAACTTTTTCGACCTAATAAAAGGCATCAATTTCTGGTGTACCTTGACTCAATTAGGTTGGGGAGAGGTTAAAGAGAAATTCAAGAAAATTGTCTTAAAAAATTGTAATTATAAATTTACAAATGGCAGTATTTCTCACAGGCAGAGTATTTGTCCATGAGTGGGCCCATCTCCGGTGGGGAATATTTGATGAGTATAATGAGGACCGGCCATTCTATATTTCCAGAAGAAACACTATTGAAGCAACAAGGTATCATTATATTGAACAAATCTGTTTTCAAAATGTTTTACTTATGACTCATTAATTTTCTATGCTAGGCAAACAAAGGCTATCTCAGGTAACTACCTGAGAATGTTTATACAGTTCATTGCAATATCCAACCTGCCCCATCATGTATGTCTCCAATTAATTCTAGAGATTCCACCTTGGCATCAAGATCAATCCGAAACAGAAAACAATTTCAGTATTCACAGGGACTATGCTAAAACATGTTATGGGCAGAGGAGAAAGGAAAAAGCTGTAGGCTAAACCCCAAGATATCTGAGAATAGGTGTTCAACCCTACCCACTCTTGTTTCACTTGATTCATCACTTTTTAAAGATGAATCTGTTTCGCTGAAATCAGTTAAGCTGCTAGAGCTTCTTTGTAAATATAATATTATACTTTTCATTTAATCTTGATCTTAAAGAAAAGAAAGTATTTTCATAAGAATAAGGTAGTAAATTGATTTTTTAAAAAACATAATTCTAGGTGCCACAGGCACTATTATGAATAGATGAGATGTTTAAAGTTAGTTAAAAATATCAAGCACATGGAGTATTTAAAGAATATTGAAGAACAATGGAAGTTAACGTAATAGGAAATAAGTCTTTGAGATAAAAAAAATGTTTTCAAGGAAAGAGGGGTAATGGAAAAAATGCCCCTCCTTGTCTCTACTGTGTTGTTCGTTTGATCTCTGCTGAGCTGCTTGGAGTTTTTCACACAGACTGGGCTTCTCTCAGTGCAGGGCACTCATTTCTCTCAACCTCATCCCATACAACTCCCCCTTACTCAAATAATGTCTGTTCATCCTTTAAGACTCAGTTTAAATATTTCTTACTTAACTGTCTTTCCTCTCCCTTCATTTGGGGTTAAATTCCCTTAAGAGTGCTCTCAAAGCATGTGTGGGCTTCTCTCACACTTCTGTCACTGGGCAGTAATTGTCTATACAATTATATTTTCCCCATTCGACTTTAAAATTCTTAAGAACTGCACATTTTTTCAATCCTCTGGTCTTTGACCTGGCATAAAGTAAAAGTTAAACAAAGAAGGTATCAAATAAATTTTTTATAAATTCATGAAAAATAAATGTTTCCTTATAATCAGTCAAAAAATAGTAATTAGTAAAAACAAGTACCTAAAACATTTATTGAGCTCCTACTGTGTGTCAGGCACTTTCAGGCAGTGAAGTCTCATCATATGTAAGTTTAATTTTTAGGCTTACTCAAGAACTAACCCTCTGGGAAGATATGACTCACCATGTTCCTAAATCCTTGCAATACAAAGTCATTAAAATGGATTCATGTTATGAAGTTTAATATTAACACAGAATTGGAGGATACCCTGCATATAAACGGAACTTCTTTAGAATCCTTTCCCTGTATTCTGGCCCTCTTTCCCTGCCAGGAACTTGACATATATTTTTACTGCAAAGACCAAATGGTTTGATGCACGAGCCTTTCCATGCAGGGTTTATTTTTATTTGTTCTACCAGTTTAGTGAAGTGGTTCTCAAAATATAAATTACAAAATGCTATAAACACTAAACAGTGAATACCACATATGGAATTGAAGAGGATTTTAAGCATAATATTGACTTTCCCTTCCCTATTAATAAGCAATTCTGCTGTACCTTTTAACTCATCTAATCTTTACAACATCCCTATAATTAGGAATTATCATCTTTAGCTCAAAGTCACAAGGATAATAGATTTATTGATCAAATGACCAATCTATGTTTAATAAATATGAACTGACATTGTTTCTATTGAAATTGATGACAAATTGAGATAGACTATTGTGCCTGTTTTTGTCAAAATGTAATGTTTGGTACGTGATCTATGGCAGTTGTCAGTGAAGGAAAGTTTTTAGGATATTAGTCTTCATTCATAATTTGCCATGAATTTTCATATATATATATACACACACACACATATATATACATAAATACATAAAATTTTATACATATATATATATAATCTAATTCTTTCATCATAGATGTTCCACTCACATTACTGGTACTAACGTCGTTCGGAACTGCAAGAAGGACAGCTGCATAACACGACAATGCAGATATGACTCAAAGACGGGGCTGTATGAAGCAAAATGTACATTTATCCCAAACAGATCCCAGACAGCCAAGGAATCCATTATGTTTATGCAAAATCTTGAGTCTGTAAGTACCTTTTTTTTCTCAATCTCTCAAAGGAATTCTTAGGAAAAAAAATTAATTAGAGAAGCTGGATTTTCTACTGTGAAATTATGTGTATAAAGGCAGGAAATTACTCAGGCAATTAATTAGAGGTCATTTTATCCAGCATGTAACTGGGTGTCTCTGGAAATTACCCTATCTTTTCTTATTAAGCTATTTCTTTTGTTCAAATGTAGCACTGTATCCCTCTGATTGGAGTAGTCACACAAATTCCTAGAACACATCTCTTCCCTCACTGACTTCTGTAGACGTCTGTATAGAGTTACAACCTTACTTTTAATTCCTTTTCTAAGTATTAGCCATACTACTTTTATAAAGTAATATATAATGCATATTTGAAAAGGTTTGACATTTTAGATTTTCTGTTACCTTCACACTAACGCATACTAACCTATTGCAAAGTGATATTGTGAAAACACATAAGGCTCTTTCTCTACTGAACAGACTTAAAAAAAATCATAATTACCAATGTGTCTAACCAATTAAATAATAACACACCACAAAAACTTGAAAACTAATGTTTAACCTGGAATATCTAGTTTAAATATAAAAAGCTTATTGCATAAGAATAGGTACCTTGGAGTCAGATAGACCTCACATTGAAACCCAGCCTGTCATTTTAAAGCTGTGTCCACTGTGGGAAAACTGCTAAATCTGAGATTTAGTTCTCTTATCTTTTATATGGGAATCAAAATTCCAACTTCACATAGTCATTCATATTTACAAGAATGACTAACATGGGTTTAAAAGAGCTAACATAAAGTATTATCATAACATTTAGCACGAGTTGAAAATAAACTTTAAATTTTTAATTTTTAAAATGTATTAAATATTTGAAAAGTAACCAGTTGTTTCTTCCCCTGAATAAGCCTAATATTAATTAATACAAACATATTGTACTTACCTAATAAACATTTCTAAATGTATAAAAATATTTTAAAATGGGGAATATATGAAAGTGTTTTTCTTTTTTTTTATAAGAGGTTAGACTCCAAGCCACAGGGAATCCATTAGTCACTTCACTAAATCTGGTATGAAAGATAGTCTTCTCATATCAGCAGCACCAGTTTAAATATAGGGTCCTTACTTTGTTAAAATTCAATAAGAAAGGCTCAAATTGAGCTTCTGAATATAGTATAGTCCTCAACTCTACATGAAACACTGAGCACAATATTTATGCTTGTACAATATTCATCAGTATAATTAACAGAAATATTTATTATATGCTTCTGAACTGGGCAGCCGAATTTTGCCAGCAACCAGATGCAAGCCCTTAACAAACATTGACTGAAAAGCAAAACTCTGTGCGAGGATCTAGGGAAATGTTACTCAGTGAATCCGCTTGTATTTTAAAGCCTAGCTGCTTTTCAAGATATTACATCTCCAGCGTCAATCTGTTAATTGCTTAAGCAACCTACATGCCTCTGCGACAAGATAAACAGCTGGCTTTATCATCACTCACAATGTAATCATCTCTTTTGGCCATTGCCTACTCATTTCTCATAACATTCTAAGATAACCTCTGAGATTTGGATTTGTTTTTTTATTTTTATTTTTTGGATGTGCCCCCAAGTTCATGTACTGGAAACTTAATCCCCAATGCAACAGTGTTGACAGATGGGACTTTTTTTTTTTTTTCAGTGTGACGGGAGAATCACAAGGAATCAGGTGTTCAGAGGAATGTATTGAGTAGAGGTGAGGAACTAGGATGTTGAAAAGTAAAAAAAGGAGAGAACGAGAGGAAGAAAGAGGAAGAAAAAGAGGGAGAGAGAACAGGAATATTGCTTCATTCTAAAAATGGGTATTAATAATGGCCGATCAATATTTTGTGTATTTAAAATGGAGAACTCTATAAATATTTATTGAGTTTACTTGTTCCGGATCTGAGTTGAAGTCCTGGATATCCTTATTAATTTTCTGTGTCGTTGAGTCTAAATCTCGTTATGGGTCTTATGTATCTGGGTATTAAGATCTCTTAGTGTTGCATTGATCCTTTTACCACTGTATCTTTGTTGCTTTGAAATCTATTTTATCAAATGTGAAAATTTCAACTCCTGCTTTTTGTTTATTTATTTATTTTTGCTCTCCATTTGGTTGGTAAATTTTTCTCCAACCCTTTGTTTTGAGTCTTTGTGTATCTTTGGATATACTGTTAGGTTTTGGCTGTATCTTTTGATTGGGGGATTTAGTCGATTTAAATTTAGGGTTACTGCCATTTGATGTTAACTGGCTATTTTATCCATTTGTTGATGTAAATTCTTCTTTATGTTGATGCTCTTTACTTTTTGGTATATTTTTAGAAAGGCTCATACTGGTTGTTCCTTTCTATGTATAATGCTTCTTTCAGAAGTTTTTGTAAAGCAGGCCTGGTGGTAATAAAATCTCTGAGTACTTGCTTGTTCATAAAAGATTTTATTTTTCCTTCAATTGTGAAGCTTAGTTTGGCTGGATATGAGATTCTAGGCTGAAAGTTCTGTTCTTTGAGTATATTTCATATTGGCCCCCACTCTCTTCTGGCTTATAGGGTTTCCACTGAGAGATCTGCTGTAAGTATAATAGGCTTCCCTTTATGGGTAACCTGGCCTTTCTCTCTGGCTGCCCTTAGTATTTTCTCCTTCGTTTCAATCCTGGTGAATCTAATGATTATTCTTCTTGAGGAATATCTTTGTGGTGTTCTCTGTATTACCTGGGGTTGAATAGTGTCCTGCTTTGCTAGATTGGGAAAATTTTCCTGGATAATATCCTGAAAAGTATTTTCCAGCTTGGATTCATTCTCTCCATCACATTCAGGTACACCAATCAAACGTAGATTGGGTCTTTTCACATAGTCCCATATTTCTTGGAGACTTTGCTCATTCCTTTTCATCCTTTTTTCTCTATTCTTGTCTTGTCATTTTATTTCATTAAGTTGGTCTTCGACCTCTGATATCCTTTCTTCTGCTTGATCCATTCTGCTATTTAAACTTGTGCATATTTCACTAAGTTCTCATGTTGTATTTTTCAACTCCATTAGTTCATTTATAGTCCTCTCTATATTGTTATCAAAAACAACAAATCAAAACAAAGTACACTACCTCTAAATATTGAGACTAATTTATTTCAAAGAAGCAAATTTTCACGGACCATATTTTCAAAGGTATATGCCATATACTTTTACGGACCTCTGTTACAGAGTATTTGTTGGTAGTGATTGGTATTTTCATATACCAATACCAAAATACTTCTATAGGCAGAGGTTTGTAAAGGCCTATTATCTCTGATAAAATTTAAAATTCTGTTGGACCCTTGGGCATTCATGATAAAAGACTTGACTACATTTGACACATGAGTCAGGAACATTCCCTTTAATCTGTGGAATCTGGATCAACAAAGGCTAGCCAAAGAGTTATGCATACAAATAGATATCAAATCATGTGACACAAGAGGATAATGGAAATACTGTATGTACTGCCTGATCCATACCATAAATTCCAGAAGCATTTGACTATCAGAATAACTCACACTGCCAATTGGGACATAAATAATAATGAAGATTATGGAGTTGAAATATGGAGGTCAACTAATTATTTAAGACATGGCCCAGAGATAAAATGGTTACATTTCCAGAATAACACTAACTTTCTAATTATCACAACATAAATAGATTGCATAGTATCTGTACTGAGGGCTTAAATTCAGAGTTAGGAAAGATATGATCTGATATGTTGAATAGTCAACTCCATGATTTTGTTTTCTTATTATTTTTCTTACTTTATGCCTAGTATTTAGTACATTAAAAGCTGGAAACACAGATATAATTAAAGGTGACTGTTCTTGAGGAACTCAGTTTAGTGAGAAAGCAATATGATAAATATATATTATTAAGTGGGAAGACATACAGAGATACAAACCAAATGTTATAAAACAATAACCATTGTCAAATGGAGGTCAGAATACAGTTTCTGAACAGTAAGTTTTGAGCCAGGATTTGAGAAAAGTGAGTATGTATTTGCCAAAGCAAGAAGGGGAAGAGTATTCTATATGAATAAACAAATTTACAAAAGTAAAGAGTGGAGTAAGGCAGGGATGCTGTGCATGGTCGTGGAAGTTCAGCATTGCCTAAATTATTTGCATCATGGTCATTCAAGATTTTAACATTTAATAGAACAATTTTCTGGCAGATAACAGTAAAAGAACTTGAGAAAGTGATACTGTTTTCTGATTTGCACAAAATTACTATTTGGGTTAGCAAAGACTCTAATGAAAATTTCTGGCATAGTCTAAGGATATAAAGAAACCCAGTGTGGTAGAAGCAAAGAATACATGGTGAGTAAGAGGCAGGAAACGAGGCTGAAACAAAAAATGGGGACATACAGAGCTAAGGTGTTTGAGTTTTATCCTCTCAGTTTTAGACTGGTGATGTTATTAGTTTAATTATTTCAGGAAGGTAATTCTGCTAATTGTGAAGGATGAGATAGAGTGAGATGATAGTGGAGGCAAGGGAGACCAGTTGGAGGCCATGGCAATAGGTAGGTAAGAGGCCCAAATAAAGGCACAGTGGTAGGGGAAAGAGGAACCAGGTTTGACATGCATTTCATATCAGCAAGACTTGGTTATGAGTAATTGCTTTGATTGCAAACTACATTTTTCTCCCATCCAATATAACCCCATTTGGGAAACCTATCAGCCATATCAGAAACAAAACAAACACAAAACTTAGATAAGCACGGTAGCTCACACCTATAATCGCAGAACTTTGGGAAACTGAGGTGGACAGACCACAAGGTCAAGAGATAGAGACCATCCTGGCCAACATGATGAAATCCCTTTTCTACTAAAAACACAAAAGTTAACTGGGCGTGGTTTGCGTGCCTGTAGTTCCAGCTACTTGGGAGGCTGAGGCAAGAGAATTGCTTAAACCAGGGAGTCGGAGGTTGCAGTGAGCCAAGATCATGCCACTCCACTGCACTCAAGCCTGGTGAAAGAGTGAGACTCCATCAAACACACACACACGCACACACACACACACACAAACTTACATAAAGGATATCCAAATGTAATAATTTAGTTCTTGGAATTCTGAGCTTGCATCTGGAGATTGTACATTGGGAGGGCATTAAAATAATGAAATGACACTACTAAAAATATTTCTTGTAAGCTGAGGCTCATCTTGCAGTAGCAGGATGAATTCCTTCTTGGAGACCACCCTAGTTTGTGAGACCATTTTTCCAAGTTACTACGTTTTAAAACTTTAAAAATATTTACAGATTCTATAGTAATGAAATATTCATTGGCAGAATTACTGGATACAATTCACCACTTGCCTCTGAAAGAGAAATAATTACATTTCCTCATTTTCTCCCTATACTTCCATTACTTTTTCAGTGATATTACTTTATTTATGTTGAAATGTGCCAGAGCCAATAGCAATCCAGGTTGTAGAATAGCTGTCTTCAAGTTTTTTGATCAACTATGAAGTTATGGGACATACCTAGACAATTAAAGAAGGCCATTTTCTCTATATCATTTTTAGGGAGTAGCTGGAAATTATCACAAGTCCTGACCCTTTTTCCTCAAACTTAATTCAAGGCTTGAGCTCCCCCAAATTTAGAAGGGAAAATAAGAAGTTGACTTAAGCAGTCAAGCTAGCTGCCATAATCTCCCATTGATATGTCTATCTATAACCAAAAGTATCACCAAAACTTTTTACCAGTACATATTGATAGCTTTACCTTGCTTCTGTTCCATTCAACTATGCAAAATGGATGTCAAACGTTAGATTATAAAGTAGTTCTTAACTATCAGGAGATAAAATCTGTGGAGAATATATATGACAGATAACTACATATTTGATGCCTCACAAGTTATTGTAATCTTGTCTTCTAATTGATTTTTTTTCCAGGTGGCTGAATTTTGTACTGAAGAAACACACAATACAGAGGCTCCAAACCTACAGAACAAAATGTGCAATCACAAAAGCACATGGAATATAATCATGCACTCTGAAGATTTTCAGCATTTATCTCCCATGACAGAAATAAATTCACCACCTCATCCTACATTTTCATTGCTCAAGTCCAAACAGCGAGTAGTCTGTTTGGTACTTGATAAATCCGGAAGCATGGCTGCAGTAAGATAGTTTTTGGTTAACTGTCTTAAATTACATAAGTATTTAAGCTACAAGAAATATAAGTATTAACTATTTAAGCTGATGGAAATATAATCTTAGATTTAGCTCTAGAAACAAACATATGTATTTATATTTAATAAATCTTGGTACATAATTTAATGTAGATAAGTACTAAAAGACAGTATGCCAACATAAAAATGTTGTAGGCCAGGCACAGTAGCTCAGGTCTGTAAGTGCTTTGGGTGGCGGAGGCGCATGGATCACCTGAGGTCAGGAATTCAAGACCAGCCTGACCAACATGATGAAACACTGTCTCCACTAAAAATACAAAAATTAGCTGGGTGTGGTGACACACATCTGTAATCCCAGCTACTTGGGAGGGTGAGGCAGAAGAATCGCTTGAACCTGGTTGCAACCTCACTGGAGGTTGAAGTGAGCTGAGATCGTGCCACTGCACTCCAGCCTGGGTGACAGAGCAAGACTCTATCTCAAAAAAAAATGTTTTTGTAGTAAGGTTATTGGATTATGAATAATTTATATTCCTTAACTTTTAATTCTAATTAGAAAAATTATAGCGTAACAATGAAAATCATCCATAATTCTGTCACTGGAAATATGACACTTTAGTGTTTTCTTTGCTAATGTATTTGTTTGTCCTCCTCAAAAATACATTTTATATAATGTTTCATGATCTGATTTTTTTACTTAATATATCTTCAATACCTCCCATGAAAAAAATGATTCCATGACATAATTTTTAGAGGTTATATAACATGCCCATACTATAATTTAATCAAGTAATACCCCTGTTGTTGGACAGTTGGAGATTTTCAGTCGTTATTATTAAAATTAGTATCTTTGCGTGTATTTTTAAAATTATTTCTTTATGATAAATTCCTCAATATAAAACCATTAAATAAAAATGTATAGATTGTTAAGGCTTTTCCAAGTAAAACTGATTTTTTTTAATTTTCTTTAAAATTTTTAAATTGAAGAAGCTAAATTTTAAAATACAACCAATCAATTATTATCATGATCTATGGCCCATAAATGATTTATTCATTAATTCATCAAGATTTGGAGAGTCTTATGAGTTATTCACACATCTTTTTCTTACAGGAAGACCGTCTCTTTCGAATGAATCAAGCAGCAGAACTGTACTTGATTCAAATTATTGAAAAAGGATCCTTGGTTGGGATGGTCACATTTGACAGTTATGCTCAAATCCAAAATAATCTCATAAAAATAACTGAAGATAACACTTACCAAAAGATCACTGCAAACCTGCCTCAAGAAGCTAGTGGTGGCACTTCAATTTGCAATGGACTTAAAGCAGGATTTCAGGTAAAATAAATGTATTTTTAAAATATCATTTGCCAATTACTATTGCTTTTAATTTTCTCAAATTACTTTTGAACAAAGGGCATGAGTTCATGGGCCCCTCATTTAATAATATTGTGATCTGATCAAGGTGAATCATTTATGGGAAGAAAAAAATAGCTTTTCCTAATATCTGTTTACAGCTAGACCCTCTCTCAGTGTGGCTATTCCAATAACACACTCCTGAGGTGCTAAGTTGCACTGGGAAGTGGTTAAGCAAGGGGGGGGGAAATTCAAGTCTGCACACAATTATGATTTTATTGGGGAGCACCCCATTTCTCTAACACTCCCACAGTCAAGGAGAAGAAAGTAATGCCACTAAGGGAATTATGGAAGAGAGAAATTAGTAATATTTCCATATGATGGGTAAAGAAAGCCCCAGTTTATCAAGTTAAATTGACATTTAAAAATCACAAAGAGGCCGGGTGTGGTGGCTCATGTCTGTAATCCCAGCACTTTGGGAGGCCAAGGAAGGTAGATCACCTGAGGTCAGGAGTTTGAGACCAGCCTGACCAACATGATGAAACCCCATCTATACTAGAAAACAAAAATTAACTGGGCATGGTAGTGCAGGCCTGTAATCCCAGCTACTCTGGAGGCTGAGGCAGGAGAATCGCTGGAACCCAGGAGGTGGAGGGTGCAGTGAGCCAAGATCAGGCCATTGCACTCCAGCCTGGGCAACAGAGTGAGACCCCATCTCAGAAAAATTAAAAATACATTAAAAAATTTTTAAATTTAATAATCACAAAAATAAGCTGGATACAGCAGGGCACACCTGAATTCCAGCACTTTGGAAGTCTGAGGCAGGTGTATCGCTTGAGCTCAAGAGTAGGAGACCAGCCTGGCCAGCATTGGGAAACCTTGCCTTTGCATAAAACACAAAAATCAGCCAGGCATCCTGGCCTGCGTCTGTAGCCCCAGCTACTTGCCAGGCTGAGGTGGAAAGATTGCTTGAGCTCTAGAGGCGGAGATTGCAATGAGCTGTGATCATGTCACTGTACTCCAGCCTGGGCTACAGAGCAAGACCTTGTCTTAAAAAAAAAAAAGGAAAAGAAAAAATGACTATAAAGATAGAGTTAGCTGTTAAGCAGTATAGTACCAATCCTAACAAACATAGATTGAAGTTTAATGTAATTGTAATTAAAATTGTGAACTCAAAAAATTGGGAACACTCTGTGAGCACTATACCCAATTGCCTCCATTACTCATTTGAATTCTTTCTAACCTTTCATTTAAGTCTATTTATTTTCATGTTTTAAGTCACAAAATCAGAAAACTACTTCCTTCACTGACTTATCCTTGCCTCAAAATGGAAATTGCTAGTCTTAGCCAGGCCACTGATTAATACTACATCTCAACTTTCCTCATAGTGTCTATTTCTGATGAAATGTGTTAGTTTAAGTAGGCAGGCCCTGGATGAGGACAAACTTGGGATCCTGGCTCTAATATAAGTTAGCTAAATTAAATGACCTTGAGTAACTAACTCAACTCAACATCTGCTTCCTCAACAGAGATAATGTAGATTATAATAGTATCTCATTTAATTTCAGGAATTATGTAAGATAAATAAATGCTTAAGAAATGTTTACTATTATAATATTTATAATTCTTATTATATATGTCTATTCATTTCTAATGACAAGCACTGTACATTGGGAATAAGTTAAAATATGTACACATATTGGTTCACATTTTATATATATATATAGTTCTTTTGTGTTTGTTTGTTTTTTTTTTAATTTTTTATTGGATTTTAGGTTTTGGGGTACATGAGCAGAGCATGCAAGACAGTTGCGTAGGAACACACATGGCGGTGTGCTTTTCTTTCCTTCTCCCCTTCACCCACCTTTGGCATTTCTCCCCAGGCTATCCCTCCCCACCTCCCCCTCCCACTGGCCTTCCCCTTTTCCCCCCAATAGACCCCAGTGTTTAGTACTCCCCTTTCTGTGTCCATGTGTTCTCATTTTTCATCACCCGCCTATGAGTGAGAATATGCGGTGTTTCATTTTCTGTTCTTGTGTCAGTTTGCTGAGGATGACGTTCTCCAGATTCATCCATGTCCCTACAAACGACACAAACTCATCATTTCTGATTCCTGCATAATATTCCATGGTGTATATGTGCCACATTTTTCCAATCCAGTCTATTATCAATGGGCATTTGGGTTGATTCCAGGTCTTTGCTATTGTAAACAGTGCTGCAATGAACTTTCGTGTACATGTGTCCTTATAGTAGAACGATTTATAGTCTTTTGGATATATACCCAGTAATGGGATTGCTGGGTCAAATGGAATTTCTATTTCTAAGGCCTTGAGGAATCGCCACACTGTCTTCCACAATGGTTGAACTAATTTACACTCCCACCAACAGTGTAAAAGTGTTCCTTTTTCTCCACATCCTCTCCAGCATCTGTTGTCTCCAGATTTTTTAATGATCGCCATTCTAACTGGCGTGAGATGGTATCTCAATGTGGTTTTGATTTGCATCTCTCTGATGACCAGTGACGATGAGCATTTTTTCATATGATTGTTGGCCTCATATATGTCTTCTTTCGTAAAGTGTCTGTTCATATCCTTTGCCCACTTTTGAATGGGCTTGTTTGTTTTTTTCCTGTAAATCCGTTTGTGCTCTTTGTAAATTCTGGATATCAGCCCTTTGTCAGATGGGTAAACTGCAAAAACTTTTTCCCATTCTGTTGGTTGCCGATCCACTCTAGTGACTGTTTCTTTTGCCGTGCAGAAGCTGTGGAGTTTCATTAGGTCCCATTTGTCTATTTTGGCTTTTGTTGCCAATGCTTTTGGTGTTTTGTTCATGAAGTCCTTGCCTACTCCTATGTCCTGTAGTTTTGCCTAGATTTCCTTCTAGGGTTTTTATCGTGCCAAGTCTTATGTTTAAGTCTTTAATCCATCTGGAGTTAATTTTAGTGTAAGGTGTCAGGAAGGGGTCCAGTTCTGCTTTCTGCACATGGCTAGCCAGTTTTCCCAACACCATTTGTTAAACAGGGAATCCTTTCCCCCTTGCTTGTTTTTGTCAGGTTTATCAAAGATTGTATAGTTGTAGATATGTTGTGTTGCCTCCAGTGCCTCTGTTTTGTTCCATTGGTCTATATCTCTGTTTTGGTACCAGTACCATGCTGTTTTGATTACTGTAGCCTTGTAGTATAGTTTGAAATCCGGTAGTGTGATGCCCCCCGCTATGTTTTTTTTTTTTTGCTTACAATTGACTTAGCTATGCGGGCTCTCTTTTGGTTCCATATGAAGTTCATGGTGGTTTTTTCCAGTTCTGTGAAGAAAGTCAATGGTAGCTTGATGGGGATAGCGTTGATTCTGTAAATTACTTTGGGCAGTATAGCCATTTTCACGATGTTAATTCTTCCTAACCATGAACATGGAATGTTTCTCCATCTGTTTGTGTCCTCTCTGATTTCGTTGAGCAGTGGTTTGTAGTTCTCCTTGAAGAGGTCCCTTACGTTCCTTGTGAGTTGTATTCCAAGGTATTTTATTCTTTTTGTAGCAATTGTGAATGGCAGTTCGTTCTTGATTTGGCTTTCTTTAAGTCTGTTATTGGTGTAGAGGAATGCTTGTGATTTTTGCACATTGATTTTATATCCTGAGACTTTGCTGAAGTTGCTTATCAGTTTCAGGAGTACTTGGGCTGAGGTGATGGGGTCTTCTAGGTATACTATCATGTCGTCTGCAAATAGAGACAATTTGGCTTCCTCCTTTCCTATTTGAATACCCTTTATTTCTTTTTCTTACCTGATGGCTCTGGCTGGAACTTCCAGAACTATATTGAATAGGAGCGGTGAAAGAGGGCATCCTTGTCTAGTGCCAGATTTCAAAGGGAATGCTTCCAGTTTTTGCCCATTCAGTATGATATTGGCTGTTGGTTTGTCATAAATAGCTTTTATTACTTTGAGATACGTTCCATCGATACCGAGTTTATTGAGGGTTTTTAGCATAAAGGGCTGTTGAATTTTGTCAAATGCCTTCTCTGCATCAATTAAGATAATCATGTGGTTTTTGTTTTTGGTTCTGTTTATGTGGTGAATTACATTTATAGACTTGCATATGTTGAACCAGCCTTGCATCCCCGGGATGAATCCTACTTGATCATGGTGAATAAATTTTTTGATTTGCTGTTGCATTCGGCTTGCCAATATTTTATTGAAGATTTTTGCATCTATGTTCATCATGGATATTGGCCTGAAGTTTTCTCTTCTTGTTGGGTCTCTGCCGGGTTTAGGTATCAGAATGATGTTGGTCTCATAAAATGATTTGGGAAGGATTCCCTCTTTTTGGATTGTTTGAAATAGTTTTAGAAGGAATGGTACCAGCTCCTCTTTGTGTGTCTGGTAGAATTCGGCTGTGAACCCGTCTGGACCTGGGCTTTTTTTGTGTGGTAGGCTCTTAATTGCTGCTTCGACTTCTGACGTTGTTATTGGTCTATTCATAGTTTCAGCCTCCTCCTGGTTTAGGCTTGGGAGGATGCAGGAGTCCAGGAATTTATCCATTTCTTCCATGTTTACTAGTTTATGTGCATAGAGTTGTTTGTAATATTCTCTGATGATGGTTTGAATTTCTGTGGAATCTGTGGTGATTTCCCCTTTATCATTTTTTATTGCATCTATTTGGTTGTTCTCTCTTTTATTTTTAATCAATCTGGCTAGTGGTCTATTTTGTTGATCTTTTCAAAAAACCAGCTCTTGGATTTATTGATTTTTTGAAGGGTTTTTCGTGTCTCAACCTCCTTCAGTTCAGCTCTGATCTTAGTTATTTCTTGTCTTCTGCTGGGTTTTGAGTTTTTCTGATCTTGCTCCTCTAGCTCTTTCAATTTTGATGATAGGGTGTCAATTTTGGATCTCTCCATTCTCCTCATATGGGCACTTATTGCTATATACTTTCCTCTAGAGACTGCTTTAAATGTGTCCCAGAGGTTCTGGCACGTTGTGTCTTCGTTCTCATTGGTTTCGAAGAACTTCTTTATTTCTGACTTCATTTCATTGTTTACCCAGTCAACATTCAAGAGCCAGTTGTTCAGTTTCCATGAAGCTGTGCGGTTCTGGGTTGGTTTCTGTATTCTGAGTTCTAACTTGATTGCACTATGGTCTGAGAGGCTGTTTGTTATGATTTCAGTTGTTTTGCATTTGTTGAGCAGTGCTTTACTTCCAATTATGTGGTCAATTATTGAGTAGGTGAGATGTGGTGCTGAGAAGAATGTATATTCTGTGGATTATGGTGGAGAGTTCTGTAAATGTCTATCAGATTTGCTTGCTCCAGGTCTGAGTTCAAGCCCTGGATATCCTTGTTGATTTTCTGTCTGTTTGACCTGTCTAATATTGACAGTGGAGTGTTAAAGTCTCCCACTATTATTGTGTGGGAGTCTAAGTCTCTTTGTAAGTCATTAAGAACTTGCCTTATGTATCTGGGTGCTCCTGCATTGGGTCCATATATGTTTAGGATCGTTAGCTCTTCTTGTTTTATTGATCCTTTTACCATTATGTAATGGCCTTCTTTGTCTCTTTTGATCTTTGTTGCTTTAAAGTCTATTTTATCAGAGATGAGAATTGCAACTCCTGCTATTTTTTGCTTTCCATTTGCTTGGTAAATCTTCCTCCATCCCTTTATTTTGAGCCTTTGTGTATCCTTGCATGTGAGATGGGTTTCCTGGATACAGCACACTGATGGGTTTTGGATTTTTATCCAATTTGCCAGTCTGTGTCTTTTGATTGGTGCATTTAGTCCATTTACATTTAGGGTTAATATTGTTATGTGTGAATTTGATACTGCCATTTTGATGCTAAGTGGCTGTTTTGCCTGTTAGTTGTTGTAGATTCTTCATTATGTTGATGCTCTTTAGCATTTAGTGTGATTTTGGAATGGCTGGTACTGGTTGTTCCTTTCTATGTGTAGTGCCTCTTTCAAGAGCTCTTGTAAAGCAGGCCTGGTGGTGACAAAATCTCTGAGTACTTGCTTGTTCGCAAAGGATTTTATTTTTCCTTCACTTCTGAAGCTCAGTTTGGCTGGATATGAAATTCTGGGTTGAAAGTTCTTTTCTTTAAGAATGTTGAATATTGGCCCCCACTCTCTTCTGGCTTGTAGTGTTTCTGCTGAGAGATCTGCTGTGAGTCTGATGGGCTTCCCTTTGTGGGTAACTCGACCTTTCTCTCTGGCTGCCCTTAGTATTTTCTCCTTTATTTCAACCTTGTTGAATCTGACGATTATGTGCCTTGGGGTTGCTCTTCTTGCAGAATATCTTTGTGGTGTTCTCTGTATTTCCTGCATTTGAGTGTTGGCCTGTCTTGCTAGGTGGGGGAAGTTTTCCTGGATGATGTCCTGAAGAGTATTTTCCAGCTTGGATTCATTCTCTTCGTCCCCTTCTGGTACACCTATCAAACGTAGGTTAGGTCTTTTCACATAGTCCCACATTTCTTGGAGACTTTGTTCATTCCTTTTTGCGGTTTTTTTCTCTAATCTTGGTTTCTCGTTTAATTTCATTGAGTTGGTCTTCGACTTCAGATATTCTTTCTTCTGCTTGGTCAATTCGGCTATTGAAACTTGTGCATGCTTCGCGAAGTTCTCGTATTGTGTTTTTCAGCTCCTTTAATTCATTCATATTCCTCTCTAAGTTATCCATTCTTGTTATCATTTCCTCATATCTTTTTTTAAGTTCCTTAGTTTCTTTGCATTGATTTAATATATGTTCTTTTAGCTCACAAAAGTTTCTCATTATCCACCTTCTGAAGTCTAATTCCGTCATTTTGTCACAGTCATTCTCCGTCCAGCTTTGCTCCCTTGCTGGTGAGGAGTTTTGGTCCTTTCTAGGAGGCGAGGTGTTCTGGTTTCGGGTGTTTTCCTCCTTTTTTCGCTGGTTTCTTCCCATCTTTGTGGGTTTATCCGCTTGTCGTCTGCGTAGTTGCTGACTTTTCGATTGGGTCTCTGAGTGGATGCCCAGATTGTTGATGATGAAGTATTTCTGTTACTTGGTTTTCCTTCTACCAGCCTAGCCCCTTCGCTGTACGACTGCTGAGGTCCACTCCAGGCCCTGCTTGTGTGGGGTGCACCTCTAGCAGCTGTGGCACAGCGAGGGATGCTACCCGTTTCTTTTTCTGCTATCTTTGTCCCAGGATGATGCCTGCCAAATGTCAGTCTTTTGGATATAGAGTGGTCAGGGAGCTGCTTGAGGAGACAGTCTGTTCTTTTAGGAGCTCAATTTCTGAGCTGTGAGCTCTGTTGTTCATTCAGGGCTGTTAGGCTGCTATGTTTGATTCTGCTGCAACAGAGCTCATTAAAAAAACCCTTTTTTTCTCAAATGCTCTGTGTTGGGGGGTTCGGGCTTTATTTTTCGATGTCCTTTGAGGTGTCCTGCCCAGCTAGGAGGCAGACTAGCCACTGTTTGCCTGCGGAGTCTCCACCCTGCTGATGTGTGATTTGCCCTGTTCCTGCAGGCTCTGCTGTGGTCTCCACCACGCCCTGTGGCAGAGTCTCTTCGTTGTAGCGTGTTGCCTCGGCAACAGCAGGCTGCATCAGCAGTGGGCATGCATCTCAGTAGGGACGGGTTGCCTCGGCAACGGCTGGCTGCCTCAGCAGTGGGCGTGTATCTCAGTTGGGGCGTGTTGCCTCGGTAGTGGTGGACGCCCCTCCCCCACAGAGCGTCTCAGACCGTCTGCTCGGGATAGTTTGAAATCGCGATTTTGTTCGTCCCACTGGGTATCCCGAACGCTCTGTCCCTGCAATTCCCTGGGCTGGCCTACTGTCCAAGTCTCGTTCAGTCTCAAGTCCAGCCCTCTCAAGTCTCAGGTTGCCAGTTCAACAGGGCACCCGGAAAAGCGCGCCCTGTGGGGATTGCTGGGTAGGGCCAGCCGCCGCCACCGCCCCTGCTGCCGGCTTCGCCAGGCCGACTTACTGCCTGGCGTCCCGTGTCTTTTTTATACTTGGGAGTTTCCCCGTTCTGTGGGCAACAAAGATCAGTCTGGAAATGCAGCTCAGACTCACCTCTTTGCGGATTCAACGAGAGCTCCAATCCTGGGTTGTTCTCACAGCGCCATCTTGAGTCCTCCACAAAGAGCTTTAGTCCTTCTTTTGTTTTTGAGATGGTGTTTCACTTTTGTCGCCCAGGCTAGAGTGCAGTAGCATGATCTCAGTTCACTGCAACCTACACCTCCCAGGTTCAAGCAGTCTTCTGCCTCAGCCTCCCAAAGTGCAGGGATTACAGGTGTGAGCCACAGTGTCCAGTCTTTATATATATCTTATGATACCTTGACCAGAAAGTCTGTTGCTGAATAATGGTGTCAAATCACATTCAGAGCTATAAACAGCCCTTAATTACTTACATAATAAAACCAATCAGTACATAACCATTTTACTTACAAAATTCTAACAATAGCTAACATTTACTGACCTTATTATATGTTATTGCCTATGCTTAACAAGACATGCAGTCTTATTTTATCCTTACCATTACTCTGTGAGTTGGATAATATTACTATGCCCATTTTGCAGATAAGGAAACTGAAGTACAGAGTAATTAAATCTTTCTCTATATTATATAGTCAATAATTGGCAGATATGAGATTCAAAATCTGGTCTTTCTGATCCCAAAGTCTATAAACTTAATCATTACACTAATCTATCTATAAAACTCTATTATAAATGTATATAATACATACATGTATATACCATATAATATACATGTATAGGCTTTCATATAAAGTCTTGAGAAAAACTAAACATTACCTATTCTATTTAACAAATGGCAAAGCTGGAATTTACTCTCAAGGTATCTAATGCCAAATCTCTTCATAGAACTTAGGAAGAGATGAAAAACAAATATTTGCATTAATTCACAAAATTAGGAACTTTCTTCTTTGTGACAGGTCAAAGTTTTTTTCAGGAAATTCTGAGATTCTTCAGAGGCGATCAAATAAAATGCATTTTTTTTTTTTTTTTTTTTTTTTTTTTGAGACAGAGTTTCACTCTTGTTACCAGGCTGGAGTGCAATGGCACAATCTCGGCTCACCGCAATCTCCGCCTCCTGGGTTCAGGCAATTCTCCTGCCTCAGCCTCCCGAGTAGCTGGGATTACAGGCACACGCCACTGTGCCCAGCTAATTTTTTGTATTTTTAGTAGAGACGGGGTTTCACCATGTTGACCAGGATGGTCTCGATCTGTTGACCTCGTGATCCACCCAAATAAAATGCATTTTTAAAGAACGTATTACGCAATTTAAACTTGTACACCCACCTTTGGTCATGACTTTCCAGAGGCTATCTAGTCTGTAGTCTTTTAGAACTGTCTGGGTCACTTGCCTCCACCCCAATTATCACTTAGATAATACTGACAACAATAATAGCTAATAGTCAGTGAATACTTACTATGTGTCAGGCATTGCTCTATGTGCTTATTTTTCCTCTCTTTGGTAGCAAGAGTATATTTGAGAGGATTAGAAGAAGTATTAACACTCTAGCTTTGAAACGTACAAGACCACTGTAAATTACACGCATTTCCATATGCCAACTCAGCCTGAAATGATCTCAGAGTTTCCTGTTGCTTACTCTGATGCAAGGACTAAAAAAACAGGTTTATTCTTATTTTAAATATATTAAGATATGGGCCAGGCATGGTGGCTCACACCTGTAATTCCAGCACTTTGTGAGACCAACGTGGGTGGATCGCCTGAGGTCAGGAGTTTGAGACCAGCCTGGCCAACATGGTGAAATCACATCTCTACAAAAACATAAAAATTAGCCAGGCATTGTGTTGGGTGCCTGTAATCCCAGCTCCTTGGGAGGCAGAGACAGGAGAATCACTTAACCCAGGAGGTGGAGGTTGGAGTGAGCTGAGACCACATATATACATATGTATATATGTAATACATATATATATGACATTCTATAATTAATAACCTGGCTTTTTCATTATCAGGCAATTTCTCAGAGTAACCAGAGTACCTTGGGTTCTGAAATCATATTACTAACAGATGGGGAAGATAATCAAATAAGCTTATGCTTTGAAGAAGTAAGACAGAGTGGTGCAATCATCCATACCATTGCTCTGGGACCATCTGCTGAGAAAGAACTGGAGACCCTGTCAAATATGACAAGTAAACCTGTGGAATATAGTTTGAATAAAAAATAAATGTCTAGTCTCTCTTATTCCAGGGGCTCTTTCTCTATAAATCTGCTCAAAAATTTTCTATCCTAAAAATTAATCTTTGTCCATTCTTCATTTTTCAGATTAAGTTCTTTTCCATTTCTTTCACTTCATACACCAATTTTTTTCTAATACTATTTAACATTTGCTGTCTTTATCCCCCACCTACTTTCTGCCAATGCTACCAAACAGAAACTCTTTTCTCTATGGTTACTCAACTGGAAGTCAAAAATTATTGCTCAATTCCAGAATACTACTCAATTGCACAGTAGAGATTTAGACAATCCTCTTTTATAGATGAGAAAATGGAAACCTAGAGAGTGTAAATGATTTGCCAAAGGCCATAGACTCCTGAGTAACATTTCAAAGCTCTTTGTAGCATACTATCCTATTCCTGCTTTACCAAATCTTGCTAAATCTTAGTTTGAAACATTTCTGTATTTCACGTTTCTACACAATCCTTCTACCACTGCCATTATAAACCAGCCCTCACAACTCCCTGACTGGGAGACTTCACCTTATCTTTCTGCCATTTATCAGTTCAATAAACTTTCACCTTATCTTTCTGCCATTTATCAGTTCAATAAATATGTACTGATTGTTGTATTTGTGGCAGTCACTTGTGTTAATTCTTGCCCTCTATAATCTATTCTTTCCTAACTCCTTACACCTAAGTAATCTCTCTCTTCATTAATTTCAACATCATTTATTTCCTGCACTTAATTTTTACTTTATTGTAGACTGTAATTCTCTAATTGTTTTGGTGTACCTTAGACACAACTAGAAAATAAGCAGCTGGTTCAGAAGAACTATCTTAAATTTCATTTTTATGACATTATTTAGTGCTTAGACCAGCTTTAGCAATGCGGCAGGTGTTTACATTTGATGATTGATTGATGTAAAAACAATGAAATTTGGCCCATTCTTTAAAGATTCTTTTATTCTTACTTATCTTTCTTATTTTGAGCAAGGTTTTAGTTATTAATGTAGGATTACATAAGGGACACTGGTATACTGAAAGTTCACAAAGTGCTTTTGTAAGTTTAAAACACTATTTAAAAATAGATTTTAAAGTGTATTGATGAAAGCAAAATAACGAATATGATTTTTCCACTTAAAATTTGATTTCAGGAGGACATCGTTTTTATGCCCATAATGACATAAATGGCCTTATTGATGCTTTCAGCAGAATTTCATCTAGAAGTGGCAGCATCTTTCAACAGGCTCTTCAGGTCAGTATAATTAAAAAAATTATTTTCTTTATCACAATTGTGATAAATGTCTATTATCCTAATTGTTAACTCATTTCTCTAATAGATAATTTTTTGCCCAAAAATATTTCAGATATGCAGAAGAAAAACATCCTTACTGAATTTGCTTTTCCATAACACTTATAGCCACCTTTTGTCTTGAATTCTTCTGTTCTTTAGAATTAGATATGCTTTTTATTTGGAAAATTCTTTAAAACAATTCTTAGTTATTTTAATTAAAATCTTAAAAACAAATTTAAAATTACTCTAAAGCGACTAAACTCAGAAATTTTATTAACTATGATAACAAATGGATTTTATGTGTTTGTTGTTTTTATTTACCAAACAGTTGGAAAGTAAAACTTTGAATATCTCAGAGAAGAAATGGGTAAATGGTACAGTGCCTGTGGATAGTACAGTTGGAAATGATACTTTCTTTGTTGTCACATGGACAATACAAAAGCCAGAAATAATTCTTCAAAGCCCAAAAGGAAAAAAATATACTACCTCGGATTTCCAAGAAGATAAACTAAATATACGGTCTGCTCGTCTTCGAATACCAGGTATTGCAGAGGTAGGTCTATTATATGCTTTCTTAATCAATCTCTATTTTTTAAAGATGAAAATAGCATAAATAATATCTTATACATTGCCAATATTAAAATGATGACAATCCATCCGTAATAAAGAAATCAAATTGAATAATTAGGGATTCATATTTATACTATTTACTAGTTTGTGAAATTGGATATTAAAAATCATGATTATTATTCTGCTTAAATTTGTAAATAATTTTGTATTCCAAGCAAGGAGAAGGAAAATATTACCAAAGCTCTTAGATAGATTTTTCTTTTAATGTTTCAGACAGGCACTTGGACTTACAGCCTTCGAAATAATCATGCCCAATCTCAGTTGCTAACTGTCACAGTGACCACTCGAGCAAGAAGCCCTACCACACTCCCAGTAATTGCAACTGCTCACATGAATCGAAATACAGCTCATTACCCTAGCCCAATGATTGTTTACGCACGAGTCAGTCAAGGGTTTCTGCCTGTTCTGGGAATCAATGTAACAGCTATTATAGAAAATGAAGATGGACATCAAGTAACATTGGAGCTCTGGGACAATGGTGCAGGTAATAAGAATCTGCATCTTATGCAGATTCTTCTAAACTTCCACTAAACTTAAAATCTTCCTACAGTTCTATGACCTAGAAGTCAATATTTTCTGTATTTGCTAATGAATCGCACATTTAAGTAAATGAAATTTAATCCTAACGTTTTAAAAACTTTTTTCTCAGTTATCTTTACAACTCATAGACATAGCACGTTTGCCATTTTTTAATTTTATGAACAATTTTACTTTTTCCATGGAACTTAAGAGGAAAAAACCCATTTTCATTAATGTCAGTGTTTCATATATGCTTTCTCCAGTTGTTTATTTTTCTTATTTTAATAAGTACTTTTTATGAAATAATAGTAACAGCTAATATTAATTGAATGCCTACCATGAATTAGACTTTTCCAAAAACACAGAGTTAGCAGGTGGCCCAAGCTTTCAACCAAAATGTCTGATTCCAGGATTCATGTATTTATAACACTGATACATACTATCTCCCAAATTACTGACATCATCAGTGTTCATAAATGGATATGATTGTCATTTTTACTTTATTGGATGACTCATTATTACATTTTGTTATCAAGGTGCTGACACTGTCAAGAATGATGGCATCTACTCAAGATATTTTACAGATTACCATGGAAATGGTAGACACAGTTTAAAAGTGCATGCCCAGGCAAGAAAAAACACAGCAAGGCTAAGTTTAAGACAACAACAGAATAAAGCTCTGTACATACCTGGCTATGTTGAAAATGGTAAGTAGCAGTAAAACAGAAATGTGTTTAGACAAATTGTATATGGCAAACATTGAAAATAAATGTACTACAGAAAGCCCAAGTATATAACATTGTAATCATCTATGTATGTTTCAAAACCATATTGGCATTTGTAGACCTAGCATAGACCTATGTTTCCACATATTTTGTTCACATTCCCCTGAGTTCATTTCATTTACATTGAAAAAAAATTACTGAGCACCTACTATGTTGCAAACACTGTGCTGGGTGCTAGAGCTGCAAAGATAAATAAAACATAATCCTGGTCCTCAAAGAATTTTCAGCCAAGTAGTAGAGATAGATAGGTTAAAAGATAGTTTTAACATAGCATAAGGTTTCCTCATCAATTTTTAAATATCAGTAAACAAGCTTTTTCTCACTAAAAGCTGTTATGTTTTCAATGTCTGCTATCAATCAAAATTAATCCTTTACAGTTAAAAGATCAGCTTGCAAAATGAATAAACATGGCGGCAGGGCGCGCCTGTAATCCCAGCACTTTGGGAGGCTGAGGCGAGTGCATCACCTGAGGTCAGAAGTTCCAGACCAGCCTGACCTACAGGATGAAACCCCGTTTCTACTAAAAATACAAAAATCAGCCAGGTGTGGTGCTTAGTGTCTGTAGTCCCGGCCACTTGGGAGGCTGAGGCAGGAGAATGGCTTCAACCCAGGAGTCAGAGGTTGCAGTGAGCCGAGATTGCACCACTGCACTCCAGCCTGACGACAGAGCAAGACTCTGTCTCCAAAAAAAAAGAAAAAGATAAAAGAGTAAATATTGCAGTATGAAATGTTACAAAATTATTTTCTTGGTAGGAAAAATTATACTGAACTCACCCAAACCTGAAGTCAAAGATGATGTGGCAGAAGCTCAAATAGACGACTTCAGCAGACTCACCTCTGGAGAGTCATTTACTGTATCAGGAGTACCTCCTAACAGTAATCCTTCTCAGGTGTTCCCACCTGGTAAAATTGTAGACCTCGAGGCTAAGTTTCAAGGAGATCGTATTCAACTTTCATGGACTGCCCCTGGCAAGGTCCTCGATAAAGGAAGAGGTAAGTTTGACACTACGTTTTAAAATACACTAAAAGAAATACCATTATCTTTCATTTGCTAAAAATTTTCTAATGTCCCATTTATAAATAACATTTATGAAGTGTCTACTATAGGCCATTATTTAATTATTTTCAGATGTGAAAACAAGCTGTAAGCGATAACTGGACCAAGTAATTTCTATGTTTCAAAACTTACACTTCTAACCCATCATGTCAGATTCTATTATGCCAAACTGTCAGAAATTGAAGCATCTTAGAAATTACTTTGATAAGACAGTTAACAGCTTTCTGTTGCATTATCTTCTCCCCAAATTTTAAGTATTTCTGTACTTGCAGTTTCATTCATTTATCAACCTTCTGTTGAGCTGTCACACTGTTAAGTTCCTAAGATCCATACTCTCAACAGTCAATTAAATACAGAAGACACACAAGTAAACATAGTTACATAAAGTATAATAAAACATATGCTTTTATAAACAGAGAATCATGTGGCAACCCACAGATGGGCCACAAACTCCTAGTTAGAGGTTGAAATCACAGAGTATGTCATAAAGCCTTCCCAGGGTAGACTATCCCTGAGTATTGAAGAATGAAAGTAGTTACCCAAAATAAGTGAAGGTGTCCCACAGAGAGCGATGTTCATGTGCACAGAAACTCACTTGTTTGAAAGATTTGTTCATGGAGTTTGCATAAAGTTTAAGGTGAAAAGATCTCATTTATTCAAAGTTCCTAATAATAAACTACCCTAATTCCAAAAAGTTTAAATTACTTCTATCATTGCTTGAAATTTAAATGAATTCAATCAGTATTTATTGAATGCCTACCACATTCCAGTATTACATAGGTTAGTAGACTTTTATGGGATAAAACCAGTCTTGCTGTTTTCCTTTTAAGATTGGGAAAAATGAAAGCAATATGCAATCTAGATATACATAATATCTCAGAGATTGCCAGTGCTAAAACACCAGTGTTGAGTACTGTTTCCCCTGTGTTACAATAAACCCCTCATTGTACACTCTCAAAAGAAAAGATGCTTCTTTCACTCACTATATAGCATTTTCAAAGCTACATTTCTCATTATCATTATACAAAGAGAAAATCATTCAAAAGCCAGAGGAAACATAGAATATGCACAAACAGAGCTTTTGTATTTCAATGTTGAAAATCTTATGACAGCTTCCAAAATACCTTATTTTCCCATGCTATGGACCTTAAACATATAACAAAATCCCCAATATTGCCACTGAAAAGCCACAAATGAAATTTCTTAACCAAATACTTAGTTCTATAGTGAATTCAGTAAAAACCAAGTTTTCAGTTCAAGATTGGGTTCATAAGAACTTTCTCTCATGCTGATTATAAGATCTAAAAGTAGAAGTAATGTATAACCACAAATGCCTAAAACAGGTGGGATCTAATCTTTGTCTTTGCTTAGGAAAAATAGGAAGAGGTAGTGGTAACTGTTAAATGTTACCTGTAGGCATTCCAAAAGTGAGGTAGAAACAGTATCTTAAAGAATAAATGAACATCTATATAATCCTAAATGAAGCACTTAAATTACCTGTGACACAATTTCCATGCCTGTCAGATATACAAATTAGACTAGATGACCTAAAATTGCTAAAACAAGTAGTTATAATTCTTATATTTTATGATTTTCTAATTCCATCATTTTGGGTGTCAACAACTGTACTGTTAGCCAAGTAATTAAGGAGGTCAAATACATGCCAACATAGGACCAGGTATCCTAAGTGACACAAAGAGAACAAAACATAGTCTTTGCCCTCAAAAATTATCAGATCTAATCAGAATAAAAAATTGAACCTCTACTAAACTATCTGAAAAACTCCATTCCATGAAATAGAAGTTCATGAAAGAGAGTCATCAGGGTGAATGAAATGCCTGGATGAGAGTTCATGCAGTTGGACTTGGTTGGAGTACAATCTGCAACCATAAAGAGAAGGAGGCACATTTTGGAGAGAGAAAGAACAAAATTATATGATCAAGATCAAGAAAGCAAAATTTCACAATGGAATATTTGAATTAAAATATGGAATAGATAGGTAGAGAGGAGAGAGAGAGAGAGAGAGAGAGAGAGAGAGAGAGAGAGAGAGAGAGAGAGACCTGCCTAATGGAACACAGGGTTTTTGAGAAGAGTGATAGAATGGATTGGTAAGGCCTATTTAAGAGGAAACTAAATGTTAAGCAGAGGATCTGAATTCTTTTTAAAACTACACTTCAAGTTATTCACCACACACCTGAAACACCTTCAACATTTCACGGAAAAGTTAAAAACAAAGTCTTTACTTCAAAAAAGAACATCTGATGTTTTATTTTTCATCACATTTCAAAATGTAAGAATGTATTTTTACACAAATGGTGGGTATCAAAAGCAGTATAGAAAGAAACATTTATGTTGGCATATTATTTTCCTTTCTTGTTAAAATAGCCAATATTTCAAGCATTTACCAGTTTACCTTTTATTAAATTGTAGTAAACATGTTGCATGCATTATCATCTATAATTCTTAGCACTAGAATAGTAGACACTCAATAAATATTTGTTGAATGAATTGAATAACTGAATCTCTATTTTAATAGATAAAAAACTAGAGATAAGAAAGTTGGCCGGGCACGGTGGCTCACGCCTGTAATCCCAGCACTTTGGGAGGCCAAGGCGGGTGGATCACGAGGTCAAGAGATCGAGACCATCCTGGTCAACATGGTGAAACCCCATCTCTACTAAAAATACAAAAAATTAGCTGGGCACAGTGGCGCATGCCTGTAATCCCAGCTACTCAGGATTCTGAGACAGGAGAATTGCCTGAACCCAGGAGGTGGAGGTTGCAGTGAGCCGAGATCACACCATTGCACTCCAGCCTGGGTAGCAAGAGCTAAACTCCATCTCAAAAAAAAAAAGCTTAAATAAACTTCTTTTTATTACACAGCTAGCTAGTAGTAAAATGAGGGTGCTACTCAAGGTCTGCCTAGGTCCTTAGTACATATTTACTTTTTATTTTTATAGGTTTTTAATTTTTTATTTTTGTGGGTACATAGTAGGTATACATATTTATGGGGTACAAGAGATTTTCATCCAGGCATGCAGTGTGAAATAACCACATCATGGAGAATGGGATATCCATCCCCTCAAGCATTTATCCTTTGTGTTACAAACTACCCAACTATACTCCTCCAGTTATTTTATTTTTTTTATTTATTTATTTTTTTTTTTTTTGAGACGGAGTCTTGCTCTTGTTACCCAGGCTGGAGTGCAATGGCCCGATCTCGGCTCACCGCAACCTCCGCCTCCTGGATTCAGGCAATTCTCCTGCCTCAACCTCCCGAGTAGCTGGGATTACAGGCACGCGCCACCATGCCCAGCTAATTTTTTGTGTTTTTAGTAGAGATGGGGTTTCACCATGTTGACCAGGATGGTCTTGATCGCTTGACCTCATGATCCACCCTCCTCAGCCTCCCAAAGTGCTGGGATTACAGGTGTGAGCCACCGCACCCGGCCTCCTCTAGTTATTTTTAAATGTATAATTAAGTTATTATTGACTATTGACTGTGGTCACTTTGTTGTGCTATCAAATAGTAGGTCTTATTCATTCTTTCTATTTGTTGTGCCATTAACTATTCCCACCTTCTCCTACCCATCACCCCCAACTGCTCTTCCCAGCCTCTAGGAACCACTCTTCTACTCTGTATGTCCATGAGTTCAATTGTTTTGATTTTTAGATCCTACGAATAAGTGAGAACATGCGATGTTTGTCTTTCTGCTTAGCACATGTTTCAGTAGTACACATTCCAGTCTCTCTGCCTCCTTTTGCTGGTTATCCTTATCCCTGTTTCCCACTCTATTTATCATTGCTCTTTCTCCCCTGTCCTATTACTTCTTCTTTTATGACACAGATATGGGATACTGAATATCTTCACTATACTAACTATGTACTGTTCTAAATTAAAAAGTAGATTTAGCACCTTATATTTCTCTTTTTAAAAAGGAATCTAGATTTTGACTTTTTAGTACTATATGATTTTGAATTAGAATTTTCTGGGATTAGAGAAATAAGTATTTAAAGAAAAACTGTTTATGCATTTGTCCTTACAATGAAGATGAAATAACCAGAAAAAAATGAATGAGATTTCCATAACTAAAATCTATAGTGCATTTCTGATACGTTTCTAAATGGAAGGCAGTGTGGTGGCGGCAAAGCATCCTAGTAATTTTAATATACCTGAAGTGTGTTTGTTTTCCAGCTGACAGCTACATCATAAGAATAAGTAAATCTTTCCGGAACCTCCAAGAAGATTTTGATAAAGCTACTTTAATAAATACTTCCGGTCTGATACCTAAGGAGGCTGGCTCAGTAGAAAATTTTGAATTTAAACCAGAACGTTCTAAAACAGAGAATGGCACCACATTCTATATTGCAATTCAAGCCACCCGTGAAACTAGTCTAACCTCAGAGGTTTCAAACATTGCACAAGCAACTAAATTTATTCCTCCACCAGAGCCTAGCATTCCTGATCTGGGTACCAATATTTCTGCAATCGGTTTGGTAGTTTTTGGATTAGCTGTGATTTCATATATATTTTAAACTAGAAATTCTATTACAACTCAAATTCAATGTTATGCAAACTTAATAAATATTTATTTAGAATTTACTTATTGTCTATTATAAAGCTCATTATAATATAAAGTGAATGTATAAAAGTTGTAAGTTTTCTTATTACTTGATTAACACTACTTAAGTTGTTAAATATTAATCAAAATGAGTATACCATTTCCTATCTTTGAATAATCCATTCATTAATTTTTAATATGGAAAGATATATATTTGTACTTGTAAGCATTTTAAGAAACACGTTTAGAGTGTGCTACAAATTAATTTGGTATACTAACATCAAAATATATCTAAGCCATTTGAAAAAATTTATATATACATAATAGCAAATGATTTTACAGATTTATTTGCATCGCATTTTTTATTATGAATACTTTATGTTTACATAAGCTGTAATCAAAAAGGACTAGTAGTAGTAAGGAAGTCAAATTTGTTTTTTAATCATTGATTATAAGTACTGTATTTGTTTTTTATCATTGATTAAAAGGAATTTTAGCCTAGGCATGAAAGGACTAGCAAAAGTCATTTCCTGTGTGAACTGTGGAACATCACAATAAAGTTATTTCTATTCTGATGCCATCATTAAGTCCCAAGACTATTACCAAGATGCCTGATTGGGACAGGGATTTTTCTTTTTCCTATTGCTATATCCTCAGCATTTAGAATAATAATTGACACATAGCAGATATTCAACAAATATTTGTTAAATAACTTAAGAATACTTTCATAAATTCAAAAAAATCCAAATTGGACCACATTACATTAATAAAATACCACAAACTATCATGTGCACATGGTATTGTGAGGACTTCACATAATGGAAACTAACTACCTTAATAACATTGATCAGAACCAACACATAAAGTTTCAAAAAACTATCAATAGAATTTATAAACTATCTAATAAAAGGTAAATTGAGCTATTAATATAGCAATGGGGTGATTTTTCGTAGAGTGAAAGAGAAAGACATATTGGAAGAAAAGCCTTTGTTTACAGGCAAGAAGATTATTTTAACTCTAAATATCTGAAAGGAGGAAGTTGTATATATCTGGAAGGTCAAAAAAAAATTATACATCATTAGCAAACCAAATCCTGAAAAATATATTAAAAATAATAATATGACCAAGTTTAATCTATTTCAGGAATCGAAATATGATTTCATATTAGAAAATTAAAGTAATTTACTACATTAGTAGTTTTTGTTTAGCTATATGATTATCTCAATACATGCAGAAAAGTAAAATTCAACCATCGTTCTTCAGTCAAAATGAAACCTATGAAAACTATTAACCTGATATTTTAATCTTAAAGTCAAAACCCACATCTTTTAAAAATAAATAAAAAGGGCATTGAATCTTCAAGTAGAGATGAAAAATTATATATCAGAGGGTGAGAATTCTAAATTTCTAGGAAAATAAATCACTTAAGAGTCTATAAATAACTTCAAAAAAGTATCGATTATGAAAGCCTCAAAGAGTAAGGAGATAGTTAACTTATTCTTAATACATGGCCTTTATACTGAATAATTTATAGAGCTTTAGAAGTTAATGAGGGAAGACTCCTATGCAATAAAAAAAAGAATAGAAGATACAATAATTGGAAAGATACAAAATTTTAATTATTTACAGGTGAAATGTAAATGCAATAAAATCAACAAATACTTAAAATGAGAGACCTCTGAAAAATTCCTAGATGCAAGATCAATTTACTAAAAATCAATACCACTAGTTTGATATGTACAGGGCTTTGAAGTTGTCGGTTCCATCCTCACATTCAGAGAGAAAAGCTGAACTGACAAAAAAAGAATTTTTCTTAGATTCATCAGAAAGTTGAAGTCATACTACAACCTGCTACCAAAATATTAGAGAGACAGAAAAACACAGAATCATAGCTTACCAGGAGCAGAAACCTATCAGTGAAGCTAATGCCAGTAGGAACATAAACCGTAAATGTAGACATGCCAGAGGCTAAGTGTGAATGAGGCTGAGAGTTAAAAACTCTCAGAGGCCTTAGAGAGACTTCCATACTTCCCTGGGTTTTTCTTCCAAGAACCCTATGAAGTTTTCAGAGTGAAGATTAGAGAAAAATCCCCTCGGACTTTCAACATGAGAGAGATAAAAGTAACCATTTTGAAATATGCCCAAAGTGTTCTGTTCTTAGCAAAAGCCTGTCTTAAGGGAAAGTGTTTTACCAGAGCCTGACTAACAGGTTTTACAAGAGCCTAACCAACTTGGGGGAAAAGAAATACCCAACTCCAGTCTCGCCTAGCCTTCCTTGTGGCAGAGGAAGATACTCAACTCCAGAGCCCTCTAACTTTCCTATCTGATCAAAGAAGGGGAAAATGTTGGACACTAAAAAGGGAACGACAGAGATTGGGGCCTACTTAAGATTTGAGGGAGAGAGAATGGTGAGGATCAGAAAACTACCCTATCAGGTACTACGGTATTATGTTTATTACCTAGGCAATGAAGTAATCTACACACCAAACCCCTGTGGCACACAAGTTACCTATATAACAAACCTGTACATGTATCCCTGAACCTAAAAGAAAAGTTAAGAAAAAAAAAAAAATATATGAGAAGCATTTGTGAAGGCCACAGCCCAAGGAGACAAGCACAATAAAAGACTGAGACCTAATCATATGACTACACAATGCTTCTCCTTCCCTCACACCTTACCAACACATTTTTAGGCTACTATGTATGAACAGGAGATTATAGATGAAAGCACTAGATGCCTCAGCCTCAATTTGAGGCAGAGTCTCTAGGGAAACCCAAAGACAACCAGGGAGTCAAAAACAAAATAATAAAGAAAATTTTTCCCTCTGGTGCAGCTACAGCAAACAGTGAACATGGTCTAACTTCTAGCCAAGTAACATGAAACCTTACACTAATGGACAATTTTTACGCGATTATGACAGTTTTTTAGCCAATGTATTATGTCAGGCTTTAAACAAAAATTAAAAGGCATAATAAAGGCATAAAACAGTCTGTTCTACTTGAAAAGCATCTTTTTAAAAGGAAGAAAAAAACAGCCTAAAGAGACCAAAAAAAAAAACCAGGACCAGATTCAGATACATCAGAAATTTTGGAATTAACAGAAGAATTTAAAATAGTTATGGTTAGGGAGGAGGCAGAACTAGATAGCCAAACAGAAACCTCCAACAATCATCTCCCTCACAGGAAGACCAAACTGAACAACTATCCACACAAAAAATCCCCTTCATAAAAACAAAAAACTCAGGTGAACTATAATAGTACCTGGTTTTAACATCATATTAAGGAAATGGGCACTAAAGAAAATAGGAAAGACATTCTAGAATCGCCTACACCTCCCCTCCCCAGTTCCCTGGCAGCAGCTTCAAGGCACAGAGAGAGAATCTGTGTGCTTAAGGGAGGCAGAGCACAGTGATTGTATGACTTTGCATTGGAACTCAGTGCTGTTCTGTCACAGTGGAAAGCAACATGGGGCAAAACTCCACCAGAGCCTATGGAGAAAGCATATATATCAGTCCTAGCCAGGGGTAAATCTTCCATCTCAGTGGTGGGGCCTGAGTACCAACAAGCCCTGCCACCATTGACTAAAGGGCTCTGAGGTTCTAAACAAACTTGCAAGGCAGTCTAGGCAACAAAGACTGCAATTTCTGGGCAAGTACTGGTGCCAAGCTGGGCTCAAAGCCAGCAGACTTAGGGAATATGTGACCTCCTAGTGAGACACTAGCTGGGGCAGCCAAGGGAGGGCTTGTGTTACCCCTTCCCCAACCCCAGGCAGCGCAGCTCACAGCTCCAGGAGAGACTCCTTCCTTCTGTTTGAGGAGAGAAGAGGGGAGAGTAAAGAGGAGTTTGTCTTACAACTTAGATACCAGCTCAGCCATAGTAGGATAAGAAATGCAGCAGAGTCCTGAGGCCCCCATTCCAGGCGCTAGGTCATGGAAACATGTCCAGGGAACATGGGCCAGAAGGAAACCTGCTGCCTTGAAAAGGAAAACCTGGTCTTGGCAAAATTCATCACCTGCTGACTAAAGAGTCTTTGGGCCCTGAATATTCAGCAGTGGTGGCCGGGCAGTTCCTGCTACAGGCCTTGGGTGAGACTCAAAGCTATACTGGCTTCATCTATGACCCAGCACATTCTCAGCTGCAGTAGCTATGGGAAAAACTCCTTCTGCTTGAGGAAAGGAGATAGAAGAGTAAAGGGGACTTTTTCTTGCAGCTTGCATACTAGGTTAGCCACAGTTGGGTAGAGCACCAAGTGGGCTCTTGGGGTTCTGGTCACAGGTTTTGGTTCCAGGATGACTTTTCTAGACCTGTCCTGGGACAGAGAGAAGCCCACTGCCCTAAAAGGAGAGACTCAGGACTGGCAACATTCACTGCAAGCTGACTAAAGAGGCCTTGGGCCTTGAATAAATATCAGTGGTAGCCAGGCAGTAAGCACCACAGGCCAGGAGCAATGGTGGCCATAAGAAGAGGCCCTTCTGTTTAAGGAAAAGGAAGAAAAGAGTGGAGGAGCTTGTCTTATGGCTTTGGTGCTGGCTCAGCTGCAGTAAAAGAGAGCACCAGGTAGATTCCTAAGGTTCTCAACTCCAGACACTGGCTCCTGGGTGGCATCTCCAGACCTGTCTGGGGCTGGGAGAACTCACCACCCTGACGGGAAGGACAAAAATCTGGCTGGATGTGCCACCTGCTGATTATAGAGCCCTTGGCTCTTGAGTGAATGTAGTCAATAGCCAGGCAGTGGTCACTGTGGGCCTTGAGCAACACCCAGTGCTGTGGCTTTGAGTCTAACCCAGCACAGCCCCAGTGGTGGTGGCCACAGGGCTGCTTCTATCACCCCTTCTCCATCAGAGAGAGAGAGAGAGAGAGAGAGAAAGAGAGAGAGACTCCATTTTTTTGGCGGAGAGTAAGGGGAGTGAATAAGAGTCTCTGCCTGGTAATGCAGAGAATTCTTCTAGATCTTATCCAAGACCATCAAGGCAGTACCTTTACAAGTCTGCAAGAGCCACAGTATTACTGAACTTGGGGTTAACTTAAAGCAGACACAGCTTCAGTGACCAAAGACTTACAACATCCAAGTCCCTTTGAATACCTGGAAAGCCTTCACAAGAAGGACAGGTACAAATAAGGTTCTAGAGGAACCATCCAAGATGGCCCATCGCTAACATCTCAGGATTGCAGCTCTCAGTGAAAGTGCAGAGAACTAGAGGATGCCACACTTTCAGACAAATTCTGGTTGCTCACAGAGCAGAAGATCCCCAGTGGAGGAGTCACACGGTCACCAGCGCGACTCTTGTGGCTGGCGCAGCGGTTTCGCTGGCACCTCGGCACGGCAGCTTTTGGAGCAGAGTCAACAGGGCTGGCTCCCCTTCTGACCGAGGTTTGGAGGACCCACACAGGTCCCCAGCACAACTCCTGAGGCCGGCACAGCGGCTGTGACGGCACCTTGGGGCGGCAGCTCTCGGCGCAGAGTAAACGAGACTGGTTCCCCTTCTGACTGAGGTTTGCAGCCCCAGGAAGGCAGAGTCGCCTATTATGGACACAAGAAGGAAGCCAGACAGGAGAATCCTGGGCAGAAAAGCACCATCAGTC